AGCTAATGCACTACTGCACCTTCTCCAATGGCCATCCTTGAAACACGTGGACTTGAAGTTGCAGACTGTCAGACCCTGACAGAGACAGGGCTTTGCTAGCAAGGAGTTCTGGGAATTGAAATCCATGTACCTATAGAGCTCTCCGGCTGGAGAAGGCTGCTAGGATGTGAGCACAATTGGATTTGTATGAGGCCCAACAATGAATTGAAGCAACTGAAGGAAAGACACAAATAGTTCACATTATAAAAGGGGGAGAAGAGATTTAAATAAAAAAACAAAACATCCCACCTAATTCAGAAAAATGCTTGTGGACATATGGAAATTGTTTTGAATGTCCATAATGGGTTGTCCGTCTCTTCTGCTGGCATTCATCATCAAAATGTTTTTCATAAATCAGTTGTGTCCTTGGATTCCCCACTCCAAGGAATTCTGTCCTATTTTTCCCAGCTAAAGGTGATGTATGAGTGTTTTAGTAGTGTGTGTGTCTGTGTGTCTGTGTATGAGAGAGACTCTATCAATATTAGGAGATTGCTTATGGGTGCTGCCCTTAGTTATTAGGACTAGGAGAGAATATTAACATTTTTATCAATCTATGAATCAACCAATCAATTTGGGACAACTAGGGATGGGGATTAATTATTTGCTGGTTTTTTTTTCCTTTTACATTTTGGAGATGCACTGTGATACTGCATCCGCAATAAATTATACACAATTTTATTCTAAATTTACTCTGTTACTTTAGTCAACAATATAGACAGGAAATCTTTGTGGGCAAAATAGTTTATGCCACCTGGTGGACAAGGAAGAGAAACAACTCCTGCAGAATATCGACAGGGAGACATTTCTGCTTGTGAACAGGTTTTTTTTTTAAATTTGATTTATATGCTGCCCTTCTCCGGAGACTCAGGGCAGCTTACAATGCATTAAGCAATAGCCTTCATACTTTTGTATATTTTTATACAAAGTCAGCTTATTGCCCCCACAATCTGGTCCTCATTTTACCTATCTTAGAAAGGATGGAAGGCTGAGTCAACCTTGAGCCTGGTGAGATTTGAACTTGCAGTAATTGCAGGCAGCTGATGTTAATAACTGTTAATAACAGTGCTTTAGTCTGCTGTGCCACCAGGCTCATTGCAGGCCTTCACACTGATGATTATTTTATTAGGAAAGCCATAGTTTCCTTGAAATGTGAGAGGGTATTATGTGGAGTGCCCATGACACGGATCACTGAAATTTACGTGGAAGTCATGAAAAATTTGAGAAATCCAAGATACCAGAGCTGAAGACATTCAAACTGCCTTGAACTCAGCACTCAGAATTTTTTTTAACATTCATGGTTAAATGTTGATTTTTTAAGATTATTGACTTACCTGGGCAGCAATTAAATTTGTGTTTCATTACTCTGTATTAAATTAAGTCAAATATAATTTGTCTTTACCTTTCTCAGTTCAGTATTGTGGCATTTACAACTTGGTTAAATGAAAACCTTTATGATTGAAATATGTATGAAAATATAAACCTTCAATGCTTAGTTTTATTTATTTGCTCATGAGCATTCTAAAAAAAAATGGTCCAATTGTTTTACAGTAACAGCATTTTTTTTTTCTTTCATTCAATCATGTCCAATTCTCAGAGACTACTTAAACAAGTCCCTGAAGTTGTTTTGGCAATATTTTCAAAAGTTGTTTGGCACTGCTTTCTTTCCAGGGCTGAGTTTCTCACTCAGGGTCACCCAGATGGCTTTGTGCCCAAGGCTGAACTAGAATTTAGTCTCTTGGTTTTTAGCCTGATGCCCCACTACTATACCAAACTGGCTCTAGTAACAGCATGCATCTAGTCAATTAATCTTCTAGAGTAAATACTTTAATCTAGCAGACTGAACATTTCTATCAAACTGGAACATCGGTTTATTTTTTAAAAAACATCAGTTAAGCGCACAGTCCAATTGGAACCCACATTTCAAGATAATATAGCAATGCAATGTTACCATTTGATTGTCTATGTTGCTATTGTTTAACATGAGCCTGAGAATATAAATTACTTTCATTCAGCTTGTTTAGGACTCCCGCAGAATAAATAGGTGTGTGTCTTTTCACGCACAATATATTTTTTTTTCTGTTGTGTCCTCATGCCATCAGCTTCATTTGATCTCCAACAATTGCTAGAATTGTCCCAATTATACACAGGTCTTAATTTAGATAACGATCTGATAGTCCATGAACTATTCTGTTACTGGTGGTGCAACCAAGCAAAATCTAAGCAGTGAGATCAGCTAACTCAAACCAGTTCAGGCATATCCTCACCTCTCAACTTCTAGCACTGCTTTCAGGACTATTTTGCTTTGATTGACAGCTCAGAGACCTGAATCAAATTGAACAGATGCTAACCAACAGTGCTAATAACATTGAGATTAGCTGCATAGTGAAGCAAGAGCTCTCTCTTCTGGTTCGTACCATAATTATTCCCACACTTGTCAGCTGCTGCTGATTGCATTTGAACCTAGTTTTAGAGTAATTCTTGAGTAGAACATAAAATAACAGGGTTTTAAGGGAACTTGGAGGTTTTCTAATCCAACTTTCTAGGAAATCCTATTCCATTCCAGACAAATGGCTGTTCAATCTCTTCTTGAAAACCTCCAGTGATGGGAGTGCTGTACTCCCCAATTTCTGGAGACAAGTCTTTCTCCTGATCAATTGATCTCAGTGAGGACATTTCTCCTTAGTTCTATGTTGGATCTCTCTTTTTTTAAACACTTTATTAAACTTTTATTACATTAAAAAGATAAACAATTATTTCACTCAACAGCTAATTGTGGTGTTTTTCTTGTGACAATAATTTGTGCATTATTTACAAAAATTAAATTCAATTAAAGATCTCTCTTTAATGATCTTCCTACCATTCCTTCTTGTCTTGTTCCCAAATGCTTTGGAGAACAGGTAAACCTCCTCTTCTCTGTGACAGAGAAATATTGGAAGACTGCTATCATGTCACCCCTAGGTAACCCTGTTTTTATTTGACTAGAAACACCTAGTTCCTGTAACTGGTCTTCGTAGTGCTAAACCTGTGCCAATAAGAAGCTAGACTTATCAACTCCCTGAACCGTGTTTCCCCAAAAATAAGTCCGTCTTATATTTTTTTGAACCCCGAAATAAGTGCTTGGCCTTATTTTCGGGGAGGTCTTATTATTTTGGGGCATGTGGAGCAAGATGGGGCTCCTCTTGCCGTCTTACCCGATTTCCAGCTCTGCGTTTAAATATTTTCGGGAAGGGCTTATTTTCTAGGGGAGGCTTATTTTAGCACATGCGCTCAAAAGCCCGATTGGGCTTATTGTCAGGGGATGTCTTATTTTTAGGAAAACAGGGTACCTGGCGCAATGTACCTGTACCCCCAAAAATAGCAAGTGTTTACCCATCATGGCAATTGAAGGGAAACCAACCTGACAAAATTCCGTAAACCATAATTATAACTCATCAGTTCATTAGCTAAACTATTTTGTATGATCGATTAGTCAGTTCCAATATGCACAAACTCAGTCACTGTAGTCTAACATACTAGAACAGATCTGGATGACATACAGGTAGCTGCGGAAGAAAATAAAACTTTTCCAGTGCATGACAAAAGTGCAATCTCCTTTCTACTTCAAATTCTCATTAAAATGTCATCATATAGATAAGACAATGCCTTTTTTGCATTCATTCTGTAATGGGTTAAAGAGGAAAATCAGCTTTTATTATAATTGTGACCAGCATCTCTTAAAAAAAAAAAAAACTTACCTTGAACAAAATCCTAGCATCTTAACAAAAATCATTCTTCTGCCAAAGGGTTTAGGCATTCTAAGCGACACAGTGGCAATAAATTAAACAGGTTTTGAAGTATTTATGAAAGATATGTCTAATGTCTGGGCATGTGCAAAAGCAAAAGAATTTTGGAAAAAAATACATACATGATTAGAAATTATGTTAAAGCAGCATATAGATTATAAACCAGAAATATTTTTGTTAGGTATAGTACCAGAAAAGTATGATAAAGGGAATATGTACTTAATATTATATGTTTTGAAAGCAGCAGGAATTGTATTTGCACAGCACTGGAAAAATGAAGAAACACCTAAAGAAGATGTAATTAAAAAAATATTAGACTGTGCAGAAATGGATAGACTGACATTAAAGATAAAAGAAAAAGACGATACAGAATATTTTCAAATATGGGACTTTTTGGATAATGGTTGGATAGTAGAGGTAGTAATTAGGAGCAGGAAAAGTACTAGTATGTAAAATAATTGATCCAGACAATACACTCTTCACAAAGCACTTATGTAAAGAGAAAACGTATAAACAAACTGTTAAAAAAAAAAGATATGTCTAAATTGATGTAGACCTACACTCATCCTTACTGGATAAACTTATACTAATATGGGTTTATTTAGTATGACTAGTAAGAATTCTAGCAAGAGTGAAGTAGGAGTTGTATATAAATAAACTCAAAATGTGCATTAGTAAAAAAAAAAAAAAACAAAAAACATAAAATATAATTTCTAGCCTAGTTCAATTCTGCATTTAGCAGGATCTAATCAGGGTCAGTCACCGGGACCAGAAGTTTAGTCTTCTGAGCTTTTGGACTTGTGCTAGAACCCATCCTCTGCACCTTTTATATAGCTATTTCTTAATATTTCTACTCATTTATAGCTGAAGTTTTGAATTCTTGTTATCAAAGAAAACTTCAAATAAATCCAAGAGTTCTTGTAGCAATTACATTCACTTGAGTATTAGATTACATGTACATATAAAACTTGAGTTGTAGCAACTGTATGTTTGAAATATTATGAAATATTGCCTAGAGCTCATGAATGTATACATTCTTTATTCAGATCCTTATGCTAAAATGAACTCTTAAGAAAAAAGCTGGAGGAATTTCCATCATGAGGACTAGGATTCAATGGAAATTCAACAATTCTGGATATTTGGAAAACATTTTAAGGGGCCAAATGCATGACAAAAGTATAATTTGAGAAAGGAATTTTATTTCAAGCTCTAAGGGAAGGGGGTATTACAAACCATAGGGAATAAAAACATTAGAAACTATTCCAAAATTGGCTGTAGCTTTAAAATAAAGATTCAAGCAGGTTTTACAATGAAGAATACCCAATGAAACGGTTTTAAAAGATTTTAAAAGTATTGGCTTTACCATATTTGCTAACCCATTATTTAAAAAAAAAAAGCTGGGCATAAATATTCCGTGCATTCATATGCATTATTTGGTGTTGCATATTATATACCTTGGTACAGTATTTAAATTATCAACGAAGAGTTCAACGCAGTGCACTTATAAATAACGTCGTCATTATAAATCACATTGAAAACATACTTGCTATTTTCATTGTTACAAATTCAGTATCCCAGTGAACATAGAAAGAAAGTAGCTACAACAATCAATAGTTGACTTTATTTTTTAATATAAAAGATATTAATGGAAACCCACCCTACCACTTCCTTCCCTAAATGTAATGCTTTACCTCTTTGAAATAAAAATAAAGTACTAATTCTATATACATCACATGTACCATACAAAAATGTATCCAAATTTTCTATTGCTACCAAAGTGTTCTAAAATTAAAAGTTACATAAATCCCCTCACTGAAGCAAAGATTACAAGTTACAAAAAAAGTCAAATTACACACAACCCATCAAGTTATTTTATACAACCATTTTCAAGACAACTTTTTCTCTCAAAGCAAATTGTCTTATGTGCCTGTATAAAAATGTATATCAATATACTTTTCTTATTTATTTCTCTTTATAAAGCAAAGTAATACATTTTCTACAATAAATATAACACAGGGAGGCACATAAAATTCAGGGGAGATAGATGAGATATGGGTTTGTGAGAAATAATACACTTAACAAGCTTTAAGCCAGTGTTGTATAATCACAACAAATGTCTAAAATGGTATCTTGGGCAACAGTGGAGTGTTTTCAGAGATTTTTTTCAACTGATGTATATAGCATAATTTTATTCCCGTTATATTTCGAACAAAGTACCCTCCAAAATAATGTAATTCCTTATTTAAAATATTTATTTGTTGTCATAAATTTACAGTTTAGGTATGTGGTACTTTGTGCAAAGAGTAATGATTTTTTTTTGCGAAGTCAAACATTCAGAGGCCTTGTTAAAAACTATGGATCACAAAAAAGTTACATAAGCAGCACCGCATCATAATATATGATCTACTAAACCAATCTGATGTTATTTCCTTAAAAAGTCCCTTAGCACCTAATGCTGGATAGTGGTGCCTATGTATTTCTTTTTATGTGAAAAGAAATGGAAGCGACAATCTATCTTTTTCCCAAACAAAAGAAAGAAAATTTTAAAAAGCTACATCTAAAATCAGAATAAGTTAAGAGCTGACTATACATATATATACATTTTATAAACACTATGAACAAGATATATTTTAATGGAAATGCTTGAAACAGCAACATAATGATAAAACTTTAAATCAATATGGCAATGGTGATTTAGAGAAGCTGCTCAACCAGTTTAGTCTGCAGAATTCTGCCACTGGATCAATGATTACTGAGCTGTATCTTCAATACATTCTTGTAGACAAAGAGGTTAATTTGTAGTTCTCTACACAAGGTTGTTTTATATCTTGGTGACAACCTATGTTAGTCAATATCACTGAAGTCACTGACTGGCTCTCCATGAACTCTACTTAAATGGTTCATAGCACGATCAAAAGCAACTCTTACAGCTTTACGAATACTTGAGTTTCGACCTTCCATCATTTTTAATTTATCTATTGTTTCGTCGATCCCAAGTGGAATCATTTTGGATTTTGGAAGCCATTGCCTGTAAACAAATTAAAGAAAAGAATTAAAAATGACTTTGGAATAAAAAATAATAAAAAATAATAAAAAAATACTGAATGCTTCTCCAATAATACTTTTTTAAAATTTCTATCTTAACTAACAGTGTATACTTTTTGGAGGCTGGTGAAGCACTTACGTCTTTGCTACAGTTCCAAATGTGATGGGGCCAAGACAAGAGCAAGGTTTAATTTAAACTTTGTTTCATTTTAATTTTGAAAAAAAAAATCTGACAATCCAATCAAATTAGATTATGACTTAGTGACAACTTTTAGAAGAAATATGGGAATCATATTTCATGTTATTTATGGATTATTCATTAGTTTAACAAATTTAAATGATTCCCCCATCCCACTGAAAGTGTCTCTGGACAGGATACAATTAAAACAATATTGCAATATCACAACTGTTGAAAACTTAAAAAATAAATAAAAAGAACATCAAAACACAAAATAATCATCCGAAAGGCTTCCCATGGGATCCCCAAGACTGCTGGAAAAAACACATTTTCAAAAACTTCTGAAACGCAAAGGCTAAATTCACATTGGGAGGAGGGGAAGTCACATTCTAGACAGCAGGAGCTACAGCAAAGTGAAGTGAAATAAATATCAGACAGGGGTGATCAATTACATATGTTTGAACTTGTCTGGAGGGAGAGGAAAGTAATCTTACACACAAGCATACAGACACAAACACATATTTCTTTTTCTCTGTACTTTTGTTTGTATTACTTTGTAAACTTGTACAGGTAGTCCTCGACTTACAAACACAACTGAGCCCAAGATTTCTGTTGCTAAGCAGAAGTTACTCAATTTTGCCCGATTAAATCACTGCAGTTCTTAAGGTAGTGACATGGTTGTTAAGTGAATCTGGTTTCCCCATTGACTCTGCCTGTCAAAAGGTGGCAAAAGATGATCATATGACCTCAGGACACTACAACTATTAAGAAAGTTCATAACATTCTCAAAGATGTTTCTCATCCTGGGCATCCTTTTTTGGAACTATTACCATCTGGCAGACGGTACAGGATAATAAAAACAAGGACAAATAGGCTGAAAAACAGCTTCTATCCCAGGGCAATAACCATACTGAATTCTATGGTATAGTGCAATATCGGGTATTCAATTTCAATTATACAGAATGTAAAGGATGTATGTTTGTGTTTTTATTTTTATTTTTATGTACACTGAAGACGGCATTTAATTTCGTTGTACCATGTGCAATGACAATAAAGTAAACTAAACTAAACTAAACCATCATATTTATAAACCAGTTGCCAAGCATCTGGGTTTTGATCACATGACCATGGGGATGCTGCAACGGTCGTCAGCGTGAAAAATGGTCATAAATCACTTTTTTCAATAACTTATGCTGTTGTTTTACAGTGACTTATGCTGCTGTTGTAACTTCAAATGGCCACTAAACAAATGATTATAAGTCAAGGACGACCTTACAAGCTTTACACTTTAATACAAATTATTATATAAAAAGAAAAATTAAATGAAATATCTCAATTTTATAATATTCCTTCAGCTGTCCTTTGCTTTGCAGATCTGTGAAAGTTTTAAAGGCAAGGACTGGTTACAAAACTACTTTTTCATCCAAGTCATAACTGCAGATGGTTGCTAAAGGCGGCAGTCCTTACATAGACTACTTATACTTAAAAAACACTGTTTACTTTCACAACACCCTGCTCCTCTAATACAAAATTTGGAGCAATCATTTCCTATCAAAGAATATTTCCAATAAATATCTATTTGTCTTACAAAGAAAAAAAATATTTTAAGGTGAGGGAAGAATTACTTACCAACTTCTTTTATTATCAAAAAATAAAACCAAAAAAAGTTTTTCATCTGATTTGGTCTGCATTTGTTCACCAATTTTCAATACATCAAGGGGTGGCACTGGTATTGTAACACCATTGTGATGACCAGCAACACGAGGCATTTTAGGATCAATTATCTATAAAATGGAGAGGCAAACAATACTAAATAACTAGCGATATTTTAAAGCTTCTTCAAAAATATGTAAATATTAATATTACTATGAACTCATGAATGTGAAATCTAGAACTGAGTATACCAACATCTCTCTCCTGAGATATTCTAACTCAGAACCTAATTCCCACACTCTTTCCATTCCTTCCTCCTCATAGCTCTTCCTCAAGCACTTTCAAATGTTCCACTGGAAGTCAAGAGACCTGATTGAAGTCTGCTTTCGTAAAGGGATTGTCTGGCAGAGATTTACATACTAGATGTAAATTAATTCTGTAGAGACTTAATATTTAGCCCAGTAGACATAAACCTAAATACATTACAGGTGTGTGGGGTTTGGGATTCAAAGACAAAAATGTGCTGCTATCTGGAACTTTCCAGCTGTGACATTTACAGGGTGTTAATAACTGCCTTCTTCTGGGAAAATATATTAATAGAGTTGCAGAAAGTGCTACATGTATTTTGCCTTTGAACATGAAGTTCTATATAATCCTAAAATTCAATTTACTGAGGTTCTTAAAAAATAGCATGTGAACAAATTATCATATAACCAATTGCATTACTTTCCAGACTGTTGCTCTCATTTAGTAACAAGATGTGAAATGCAGATGTATGTGAATGTATATATACACACGTCCATATCTAAAGAATTTTGTTTAGCTATGCAATATATTCCAAATAGATTCAGAAAGTTTTTTTTAAACTTATGTTTGTCTGTAACTGAGCAATCAGATACAAACTTGTTATTTCATTAAGCACTTATACTTCTGTCTATGAGTGCAAGTTGGCTTATTTTTTATGATATACAAAATACATATTTTTAAAAGTTTGTATAACTGAAACTACATGGCAGATAGAGCTACATCCTGACAACTTCAAAAAACAAGTTATTTATCACATTAGGAATTAAGAAATTACATACTAAATTTTAGATGTAACAGGATACTTGTTTTTATCCCTAATGAAAGTTGATTTCTATACAGTATAGACAGATCCTTACTCTATAAATTGGGTTTTCCCAAAAAGTTTTGTTGATGGGAGTGCTAACTTACCAGTGCTGGATAGGAAGGATAGCCACTACATTTGGCCCACACAACTTTTAGAGGTTCAAGGACAGAATTGGAAGCATCCGTTGAAATCCACATGTTATTGTGTCCAACTTCTAAAATGAAGAAAGTTATTTTAGAAAAGAATTTGTTGTGATGTGTATGGTTAAGATGATGGAAAGACAAATTCAGGATGCTTTTTTGAGAATAAAAGGATGAAGAACCTAAGAAACAACTTTAAGCAACCTCTTTTCTTGTCCTATATGAACTAAGATCTGGTGGAGTAAAGGTTAAAGTGCAGTATTACAGGCAAACTCTGCCCACAGCCTGGAGTTAGATTCTGATGGGGCTCAAGATTGACTCAGCCTCCCATTCTTCCAAGGTTAATAAAATGAAGACTCAGATTGTTGGGGGCAATATGCAAATAACTCTTCTACATTGTAAACTGCCCAGAGAGTGCTATGAAGTTTACTATGAGGTGAAATATAAGCCTAAATGCTATTGTTATTGCTGTCTAGTATGATTAAAAATCAGTTTGATTTAGAAGTTGTCTTAAACCAAATCTTTGTAAGTAGTCCTTAACTTATGACAATTGGGACAGGAATTATGTCTGCCGAGTAAAGCGGTTGTTAAGTGAGTTATCAGATGACTGGACTTGATTTTACAACCATTTTTACCTGAATCACTTCAGTGAATCGCTGCAGTGGTGGAGTGAATTTGAGCCATCTGGCTTCTCTCATTGACTTTACATGCCAGAAGCCAGCTGAGAAGGGGCACAAATCGGGATTGCATGACTGTAAGATGCTGCTGCTGTTTTAAATGCAAGCAGGTTGCCAAAATGCCTGAACTGTGATGTAACCATGGTGCAATGGTTATAACTTTGAGGACAGACTGTTAGTCACTTTTTCAGCACCATTGTAACTGACTATCATTAAGGGAGTGATCATAAGTCAAGGACTACTTGTAGTGTAATATTTAATAGAGAAAATAATCACGGAAAGATTATTTGCTAACAGAAATCTGCCACCTGTACTGTGGAGCATGAAAATACTCACTGAATTGGATTCAAATTTTAGCATGCACAGATCATTTATTTACAACTATTTCTATGTTGACTAGTACAATTATAGATGGTTCACAATAAAACAAAATTAATATACAACCATAAGCACTGAAATCTGAATCAACTGTATAAATGAAAGAGGCCTGCCATTGAGAAGGCTTAATTTCTAGCTCCTTTCATCTTGATTTATGAAAGGAAAGACTCTTATTTGCCCCCTCGCCTATGTGGATTGATGGGGCCATTTATAGGCAACATAGTCCCAAAACTAACAAGGCACCAAAATAGATAGAGCTTTATGGCTAATAATCCAAAAAGGATTTGAAAGCCAACAGTAACCATTGCAAATCTCACAAAACTGCTGTTACCCTGCTGTAATGGTTATGAACCAATTGTATTCTGGACCAGATGAAATTTCTGAATTGTCTTTAAGAGAGTACCTCTATGTAAAACATATTACAGTAATTCAAGCACAAAATGGGAAAGCACAAGTTACTACTGCCAGAGCATCCTGAACTAGAAAAGACCACAACTGGGACACCTGTTAAAGCTGGGCTAAAGTCTTTCGGGCCATAGGCTCCATCTGAAGCATCCCACAGTGAAATATCTAAGAGCTTAACATCACCTCCTTTATCAATAGCAACCAAAAATGTCCATTTAGGATGAAGCAACACAGCACCAACTTCCTTGCAGGTGATTGCAAAAGATACCACGGTCAAATGCCACTGAAAGAACATGCAGGACATAGAAGGGCATATTAAACCAATGAAACTTTCATTCCATGTCTAGGCCTGAATCCAGAGAGAAAAGTATCCAAATAATCTACTGTGTTTTTTCACTCCATAAAACGCACCTAGGTTTAGAAGAGGGAAACAAAAAAAAAAAAAAAAACATATTCTGAACCGGAGCCTGAGAGGACCATAGGTAGGTGTCCTCTAATGTGCCAGCTCTGCCTATTGACTCCTGCACTGCGGAAAAGAGACAGAAGAGGCTGGCAATGAAAAAGACAGAAGAGGCGGGGTTCAGCACTGTAAAAGGACCCTGCTGCTGCAGCTCGGCTGCTATTCACCATATTCGCTCCATAAAACACACAGACGTTTCCACCCACTTTTTTTTGGGGGGGGAGTATGTCTTATGGAGCGAAAAGTACAGTACTTCATTCAAGGCCCTTAGTAATTATCACACAATCTCAATAGCACCAAAATCCTAAAAAAAAAAAAAAAAAAAAAAGGATGAGTGGTCAAGAGTCATGTAAAATAATTGGTCCCTCCAATCTCTTAAAACTTGGACATGGCATTTTTAAAGCCGCTTTGGTCTAATCGTTAAGGCAGGAGGCTAGAAACCAGGAAACCCTGAGTTCTAGTCCTGCCTTAGGCATGAAAGGCAGCTGGGTGACTTTGGGACAGTCATCCTCTCTCTCAGCCCAACTCACCTCACAGATTTGTTATGGGGAATATAGGGAGAGTAAGGAGTATTATTTATGTTTGCATTATTTATAAAAAAATTTTTTAAAAAAAATCTACCAAAAAACCAGAGGAGCAGCGCTACCTCTACCTGACTGACATACAGTCAATCCAAATTTTTGTCCTACTACTACTATCCAAATCTTTGTCCTACTATTACAAAATGTCTGAGCAGAAAAGGAAAAATATCATCAAATGATGATCTAATCTTAAATTTTTTTCAGGGCTACTGTTCACCTCCAACAGCGGGCACCACACACTAGGTCTTTATAAGAGCTCCCTGACCTTTTTGGCTTATGCCAAATCTTTGTTCTCTCTTATTTGAATAAAACAAATAGGATTTCTAATATATGTCAAATAAGTGACAAATAGCCATGAAGAAACTGAGCAAAATGTGGTAATATTAGCAAAACTTTATCACAACACATCTTAAAGGAAGGAAATGACATTTATGAAAGCTATTGAGTGTGTTTACAAAAAGATAAGTTGAAAATAATTTTGTTATATTTAAGATTTAAGAGAGCTTATGACCATAACTGAGCCCAGAATTAAAGTCATAAGTCACATCATTTGTTTAGTGCAAGGGAGTCAAATTCACAGAGGTGTCATGTGACGTATCGGGACTTTTTTCCCCTTCACTAAACCGGGCGTGGGTGTGGGTGTGTGACGCATTCGGCCCGCCAGCCGGGAACTTGACAGCCCTGGTTTAGTGGATCATCACCTGACCACACACTATTTTACAACCTTTTTCTTTTTTTTTGCACCAATCATCAAATGGTCATTAAGCCATTGTCTGCAATGGCTGTTTTTTGCTGGAAACCAAAAGTAAATACCGATTTCCAGCAAAACGTCACAGACTGTGGTCACATGACTGGGAATGCTGCAAAAGGCCATAAATGGACATTGAATGGTTGCAAAGAGACTAGCATAAATCAAGGACTATATGCATGGTTATCAGTCAAAAGGAAGCATAAGTGAGGTTAAGAAAACACATGCAAATTGAAGAGACTCTTTTACACACCATGGCATTAAGTGGTGTATATATAAAAAAGGACAGCTATCCTTTTCAGTGAGTGCAGATGCCCAGGTCTGTAGAGGCAAGGCCTTTTAGATTACTAAGCAAACTAGAAGCTATAGAGATAGATAAATACTTATAAATATATACACACATACATATATATGAAAATATGTCAATTACCAGCTGCAATTCTTGCTGCTTTTGCGAAGTTTCCATTTTCAATGCATGATATCAACTCACTTCTGTCTTCTAAGGTGTGCCTTCGTATTAGCGCTGGTTTACCTTTCCCACATTTTGGCAGGCTAAAACTACACATATTTTAAAATGTATTAGAAATCACCAAAATATTATTTTCTTCAGAGATCCAAAAATTATCCTAATAGACCTATGTCCATACTACTATCCGGTAGCTCAAGTTGCAAGGGCAAACAGGAACTGTTTCAATTCTAATTCAGAAATTCAAAATAACACAAGAGCACTTTTTAAAGGTGTTTAAATTTCAAACTATGCCTACAATCCCTGATAAGAAAAGCTAGCTAACTTAGCAAAAAAGTTGCTTGCTTTGAGAACTAAAAATTCTGAGCTTTATACTAAGGACTAAAATCCATCTCAGGCAAAATTGCAAAGCTCTCTTTCCTTTCTTTCTGTTTGTTAGTATATAAACATTATGCAACATTAAGAGGTATTTAATTTTCAAAATTTAACTTTTAACTAATTTTAACTTTTGAATCTCTCACTGTGTGTGTGTGATGGATTCCATCTAGAGTATTATAAGTTCCATACTGCTGATCCCTCCACTGTATTTTGAGCATCCTTTCATTTAAGCAAACATATTTTTACCTTGAATTACACAACAGACTGTTGCTTGAAGATATGCTAGATTCTGATGCACAACGGCGACGAGGTTCAACTTTTCTTCCTGGAGTGTCAGCTATTTCTGACTCTTTATTGCCATCTCCAAAACCGTTTGAAAGGCCTGGCACGTTAACAAAGAAAAAGAAATACATCTAATTTGGAAGGATGCTGAAGTTTCATACTAATTTCAATATACATTAATATGCATGTTTTACTGTCTCTATTAACAGAGCTGTAGTGTTTGAAAAGAAAGGATAAAATGTTAACAAATAAAAAAAAAACTTTAGATGATCTATAGGCACCAGTGACAAAAAGGACATCCAGTCAAAGGAAATAATAATTGCAAGTTATGTTGAACAGTATGCTCTTGAAATAACGGTTGAAGAGTCACATTAGAGGAAGCAACACACAACTAAAACCCTTCATTCAATTACCACTTTAGAAAACATGTAATCACAAACTGTAAACATGTGGGTAATATTCAGTATAAACCACCATAGATTATTCTTCCCCACTGGCCAGAAGAAAATGAAGTCATTGTTCTCCACTTCTCACCTCATGTTTGGATCAAAAACAGTCAGCAGAGTGTTTATTTCCATAAATTTAAAACCATCACCATCATCATCTTCATCATCATCCAGCATTATTATTGTATACACACGCTATCTCATACAAAACAGTACAACACCACTCACTGAATCCAAACATCTTTAACCTAAACTGATTTGACCATTTTAAATTTGAGAAAAGAGGCTGGCAAATCTAATATAGTAAGAAAATATTTGCAGGGTTATTATGGATATGTTGATACGCTGAGCAAGTACTAAAAAGAATGAAGGAATTTTTATGACTAATAATCAAGGCACCAAAGTATGTATCATAAATGAAATATTTCCAATATTTCATTGTTAAACAACTATTTTAAAAGGATGTTACTATGTGATACCCATACAACAAAATAATCCAAGGGTATATGATCCTGCTGAATAAAATTCAGATTTCCACCCTGTCTCCTATAATTTCCATATAATATATGCACGTCAAAAGAAACACATGGACTCATATATGAGGAAGAAGCAATACAAGAATACTATTAGCAAGATATTACAGTTTGGCTCGGTATTTAATACAGATTAATGCATGACAGCAGGCAGCAGACACTGTCCTCTCTATATTAAAAGTAGACATTTTCTCATAGCAAAATAAACATGTTTTGCTTGTTGCCTAAAAGGTTTCCAGAAGTATTAACATCATACATTTCATGCCAGTATCTATACCTACACCTATGCCCACTCTATACAATGGCATAAAGGTAAAGTTGTTTCCATTATCAATAACAGTTACCATGTGCATGCATTTTAGTAAATATGATACTACAGAAACAACAATTATATTCCTAAATCATCATGCAAATGGGAAAAATAATTCCTATTGATTACTTCTTAATGCAAGACACGGTACATAACTCTGACCACAGTACAAATACACACAGAGAGAGAAGATGGAACTGTGGAAAGACTGTATCCTTCTCAGAAGCCTAGAAAGAATATCTAGCAAATAAAACATTGTGTTTTAAATCATTTACATGCTTTTTTCCTATTTAGCCAATTTGATAAATGAATCTAAATCCACAAAAAAATATTTTATTCCCTATGTCTATATGGTATAGTCTACAGTATGTATTATTTTATATAGCTGCTGAGTTTCAAAATAAATGCAAAATATAAAATATACCAATTGCTGGGAACAGATATAGTCTATCTATAGTTCCATTCATATTTTGGATTAGCTGACAAACTATTTAAGAGACTGACTTAAAACAATGAAGAGGGAAAGTAATCTAGAAAATGTATACTGCTGACATTTCAAACAATTTTGGAAAGTTTCAAGGACTGCCCGCCAGGAAACCAATTGACTTGCACATCTAAATTCAACTTCTGCCTATCAGATGTTCTGTCACATCTACCTAAAATATGTCCCAATCCATAAGTCTTTGATTCAAGGGCTTACCTCATGATTTTTGCATGTATGTATGCTTGTGTCGGTGTGTATATATATTTTCACACTTCATTCTTTGGTATAGCTAGATAAAACAACATTCGTAACAGCAAAATCAGCTGTTAATTTGATTTTAAGAAAAAATAGTCTATGACATTTAACTGAGATTATTATTATTCACTGTTAAAAATTCCCATAAAATCTTCCTTCTAAAGAATAAGGTTTTTACCTACACAATATCATCCCACAGGAAGCTAATTAAAGATTTCTTTTTATATTACTACTGTTCCACATAATAACTATATTAGCATCCAGGCATATAACATTTAAGGGACAATGTATGCATGTGCATTTGAAATCAGGAGGTTGAAATAAGTAATTGTAACAGCAATTATAAATATTTTCCTTATCGTAGCATAATTGTATTTATTTTAACAAATTATTGTTTTATTGACATTCAAAACACACACACACACACACGGAATGAAATCGGTTTTTTTTACCTAACTAAATTGTATTGAGGATGAGAATACGATGAAAAAGGTTTAACAATGCTAACAAAGCCTTTTGAAATGTATATAACTAAATCAACTTGTGATTACCAGAGTAGTATTCTCTACTGATCCCTCTCTTGAAACAAATGAAAAAGCAAAATAAATTTTTAAAAAATGCAAGCACAGCCACACAAGCAAGCATAAATAATATAGGAAACATAAAGGTAAAATTATTAACATTTGTAAAGTCGAACATGAGATGCTGAATTTAGGAAAATTATGCCCATCTACTTTAAATAGCACAAAGCTACTTCTACTTGTTTTCTGGGTAACTGAAGCACACAGGATTAAGTTAGTTTATGTAGACATTAGCTAAATCATAAAACGTGAGAAATTTCTACAATTAATTTTTTACAACTTAAGAGTTTGTGTATATGCATGAAAAATGTATATGCATAAAACCATGCTTTATTTTCTTTAAAAAACCAAACTATTAGTGTCTTTATTACATGCTGTGTGGATATTCATACCTTATGCAGTGAATAAAGTGTAAAATTGTTACATTATTGGTGAAGTCTAAACCTGGGCTGATGGAAGATTGAATTAGTTTGCAGAGGAATGATAATGGAAAGGAACATTCTTAACCAATCAACCCACAAGTAAAATATCTAAGATAAGAATTCTGGGGATTGGTAAACCTGCAGCCAATTTATGTCACATAGATTGCAACATACAATTTTATAACTTACGGAGATGGGAAAATATACTGAATGAAGAGCATAGGTTCATATATATCAAAGAGTTCCTCCAACAGTGTTCAAGATACTGATTTTGTTATAAGGATGTGGCTGATGTCTCCAACATGATCCAAAATAATTACTTGAAATGTAATTGTCTTTCTGCGTTCCAAAATGATCATTACATTGAATTCCAGTCCGTGTTCAGGATAATAGAAAATAATTAGGATCCAAATAGATAAATAGTCAGCATATTAGTTAATATGAGAACCTGGAAGACAGTGAAAAAGCCATTTAGTCTCACTGAAAGGAAAAGAGCTTGATATAAATAAGCCCTCCTCCCAGCAGTTTTCAGAGCAAGATTAGCAAAAACTATGCGAATTATCCATGTATTTTACTAGTTCTTTATTATATGTTTAACCTATCTACAGAGAAGAGTTCTGTGAGTAAATGATAAAGCTATTAAAAGAATATAAAAATAGTAAAAACAGATACAATGGACTGAAACAGTCTCTTTTGAATCTGCTGCTCATTATTGAAATTGGCATCAGGAGAAAATGTTAAAAGTATTTTAATAAAAATCATGGGCTGATTTTGGAGGAGGGCAGATTTCTTTTTCCAAAACAAAATGCAAATGATACACTTGTGCACTTATTTCTATATTTAATAGTCAATATTAGTAATTCGCCTTATGCCACAATAGTAGAGAAAGAAATGTTAGTGATGAAAACCTAAGAAACTATCCTGAGCATATATGGTGTATGGTAACACATTTAAGATTACTAGAAGCTACTAATTCATTCAGCATATATAAAGGAAAAATACATTTGTCTTGAATTTAGCTAAAATTACTTAATTTACCTCTAAACTTCTATTTAAAACATATAGTTGATAAAGAACTTCCTAAGTATGTAAATAATAGATAAGAAATTGAACTTATTAAGTATTTTAATACTAGATAAGAAATTGAACCTATAAAGCAGTTTAAATATATAGGAATGTACTTTGATAATGCATGATTTTAGGCAGGATATTTTTTTAAAAAAATACTATGGCTTGATGTTGTCAATTGTTCAAAGAGAAGGTAAGATGCCCTTTGTGCACCTTTATCATTATTTGTAACTTTTTTTTACAAAAGAAAGGTGACATTTTCTATATTAGGCACATCATTTGCTAACACTATGTTTAGTAATAATGAGTTCTGACAATCGGAACACAAAGATGTAGAACTTTTTTTATATAAAAAAGATTGCACAGATGTTGGAAATCCAGAGATATCCTTATCATATTCTCCCCCCACCCCAAGACAGCAGGAATCACTGTTATTATCCAACCTAAGTATTTATTTAACAATCTTGTTTGATAAAAAAAAATTGAGAATAGTTATACTAAATTTATTTTCTTTATATGAGATTAAGTACACTGGGTATTAACCTTGAAATTCTTTTGCTGGAATGCAGATCACAAGCCCTGGACTTAATCTTTATTCATTTCTACATACCACTTAACAATTATGGGGTCACTTTAATTGAGCAGTCTTCCTGTATTCTTTTTAAAAAAATGTATTCAGTTTACTAAACTAGTTGAGCTAATTTAGCTATACGAGAATGGGAAAGTAAAACTATCCTTCAAGCACCAGAAAAGGTACCAATATTTACATTCAGAAAAAACACATTAGCAGCACCCATCAGCAAAGGCTCTGCACATGCGCACACTTATGGAGGCAAGCAGGGAAAGATCTGAAAGGAAAAAAAAAATTCTTTGGAGGACATGATGATTTTAACGCTTCAAGGAGAGGGATTTTGCTTATATCAATGTGCTCTGCAAGACTGCCTTTCAAATGCTTTATATTCCCTGTTTGTTTTGTGAACTTCAAAGGCATAAGAATATTTTGTTGTTGTTTAGAGGTATCGATTTTCTACACATGTCTTGTACAAAAGAACTCTTTCCTTTTCAAAATATTGAACAAAACATTGTAAGAGATGTTAGCCACAACTGTTAAATATTGCTTTAGAGGGTTAGTTTGTTAGTTGGAGGATTAACTTGTTAGAAAGCATTGTTTATTAAAATGCCTGCCATAAAGTGTGTTGAGTCAAAAATGCTTATTTTACAAAAAGGCAAACTGATAAGGCTGAACACAAATCTGTTTCCAAAGATCCTGAACACAAAGCAGAATGGAAGTCTAGAAGGTAAATGTATTCCATCTTTATCGAGAAATATATAGGGAACACCTCCCCCCCACAGAGAACACATGAACCACTCATTCAGTATTTATCCAATCATAGGAGGCCAGTGCTTTATATTGAAGTGCTCCCGAACCCTCAACTGTATAAATTTGTTTATATTATCTATCCCCGGATCATACTTTTTAGGTGTCAACTGCTGATGCACTTGTGAACACAGGGAAGCTGCAACTCACCCCATCAATCTCTCCTCCTATATGCCTTTTTGGTCCTTTGCCATCCTGCGCCCCACCCCAGCTGACTTTTGCCACTGTCTTCTTGATCCTGTTGCCAAGACATGTCCAGTCTGATGTTGGGCCATATGGCGCCGGCTTCACCGGGGAAAAAGAACAAAAAGTAAAGCAGGTCCTCCCTGAGCCCACACGCACCAAAATGCCATGCTCCTGGGCTTATGGGACTGGCTTTGCACTGTGGAAAAAAAAAAGGGAGGGGGGAAATAAAGGCACAAAGCAGCCTCTCCCTGAACCAGAGTAGAACAAAGGGGTGTTTCTTTGTAAAGAGCTTCTGGGCAGGGCTGAGGCTGGGTTTGCACTGAGGAGGAAAAAAAAATGCTTCTGTACCGCCACCCTGGTTTTGCAAACCAGCCAGCTACAGCCAATTTGGCCTTAAGGTACCCTGGCGCTATCCAGCTCAGGGAAAAGCTGCTTTGGGTTTTTATTTCCTAGCAATAGCATGGGTGTTATGAAATGTATGCTGGCCGAAGTGCCTGAAGTGCAATCATGGGATGGGTGTGGCTGTAACAGCAACAACTTTTGAGAACAGGCACAAGTTTCCTTTCTGATCATTGAATGAATGGTCTGTGAACAAGGACTACCAAGTTTTAGGAGGCACTTTATAAATATATTAGAAAACTCAAGTTCTAAGGTAAAATAAAATTCTCTTTCTTTTACTCACAACTATATAGTACAAGTATATACTTCAAATATAAATTAACCTAGAAATATTGGTAATGATAGCAATAATAATAGAACAGTTAGAAAGAATATTTTTTCTCTACACCTAAGTGGAACATTTCTCATAATTGTCATAAAACCATAATACCAAACAACAAAATTGCTTACTATAATATGCATTCCCAGTAACCAAATCCTTACATAAAGACACAATACATTAGAGTCGATTTAGAAGTGTATTTCAGTCTTAAATATCATTGATTCAATGGAATCAAAGCATGATTCAATCCACCATATACTGGTTTAAATCCAGTATGCTGCTCTGATCACGCTTGAAAACTTCTATAGAATGCAGGTAAAAAAAAATGGATTAAAATCATGTTACTCAAATCATAAAGCAATAAAATTCACTTAATATACATCATAGCACTATGTTATTTCAGAGAAAGATCATCACTCCTACTTGTGAAGTAAGTATGTGGCCTGTTACCAGGGTGGATTTGATTTAAATCGAGTTGATTTAAATCACAATTTAAATCATAATTTAAATCACTAGTAAAAAGGCTTGATTTAAATCAACTCGATTTAAATCATAATTTTTAAAGAGCAACTGTCATCTCTGCTACTCCTTTGACCCACTGTTGACTCACCGATAGTCCCAGTGTTGCAGAATATACAGCCTCATGCTACATAACTAAGCTCCATTTCATGCTGAATAAACTAAATTATTTATGTATCTTAAATAGAAAACTATCTTACAATAGATTTTTACCCCAAAAGTTTTTTATTAAAATAAATTTGATAAAAATCAAAAAAATCCTATTTAAATAAAAAAAATCTGATTTTTTTGATTTTTTTTTTTTAAAAATCATTGATTTTTATCCACCCTGCCTGTTACTATCAGAAACAGAATAGAACAGTTCTTTGATGGTTCAATACATGCAGGTATGAAGCATCAAATTTAAAAGCATTGTTCACCAAGTACAATTCTGCTTTTGTATTTTCAGGAAGGCAGTGAAAGTTGTGGTTATTTTTTGCCTTTCTAAAATAGTAAAGCAATTTAAATAAGCAGTTGCATGAAATATGAAAGTTATAACTATACGTAAGAAGCTCAAATATTTTGAAAGCTTACCTGAGCAGTTTTTTTCAAAATCCTATTATATTAGGTCAAGATAATGCTCATGTGCCATGAAGTTATCATATTTTTTTAACCTCTATGGCACTTGCAAGACATTCAGTACATGGATAGCCAGACCCCCAAATTGCAGACAAACCCCAAATCTCACAACACAGCCCAGGAATACTTCTGGCACCAACCATCAATTGCATTAAGTCTTTTAACAAGTGTAACACATTAATAAAATAAAACAAAAATCCCAAAACAGAAGATGAAAAATACAGCCTTTTGTGTACCACAGGAGTCTCAAACTTGTGGCCTGTGGGCCAGATCCGTCACGCGCTGGCCACACCCACACCTGGTTTAGCAAAGTGGAAAACATCGTGATACATCATGTGATGCCATGACAACACAAATTTGACACCCGTGGTGTAGCATAGCCTCTAGTATCCTAGTTATATAATAAGGTGGAAAAAACAGCTCTTTTCTCCCCACAGCTGCAGAAAGTGATTCATTCCTAAAGTAGGAATATTTTAACAGGAATTCTAAGAAACTTGCATTATTTTACCTTTACAGTTTTGAATTCAGTTCAATATGATAAATCCACAATAGATCTTACATATTTTGTTTTCTATTTCCCTTCTGTGAAAGACAGTGAAATAATTTAAGGGAACTCTATGTATGGTTTCTACCATAAAAAAATAAATAAATCTAGAGTCATTTAGATTTGTTGGGTATTGTTCTCTTTTTTTTAAAAAAAAAAAAATCTTCTACTCATTTTATTAACTTCTGGAGAGAATTGAAACCCTTTCTATTTCAAGAGCTTTTACCTGAATTAGATTTAAACTAATACTTTCTAAGATTGACATTGTTTTTGTAATGTTACATGCTGTGTTTCAGTTTGTTATATTTTATTCTGACTTGTAACTTACTCTGAAATTATGTTATGAAATTTGCCATAAATTCTGAAAATATATACACTTTCATTTTAAATCATTACAATGTTATCATGCATGTACAACTTATGCTTGTACATTTTCAGACAATTATTCAAAGAAAACCTTAAGTAAGGTCCACAGATTTAGAGAGTACATTCAATCTGAAAATGCATACAGTATAAAAGCAACAATAGATGATGAACACTCAGCCTGTCATTACTATTTTGGTTCACAGATCCAAATTCAAAGGTAGAATTCATAATTTCTAAACAGGAACTTATGTAAGTTTACATCCAGAAATAAAAACAATAATCAACTATTTTATCCTACTTATTGAAACACGGACTTCTTGCATTCATTTTATATTGATTGGTAGACTCTGAATACTAAAATAACTGATTTCCATGATATAAGTCATTTGTTTTCAGGAATAAAAAGTCAAATAAATTTGCAGACAGCACATTTGTAGATTAACAGTATCTAGAAAACAGCACATTTATTGGGGGCAATATGCTGCCTCTGTAAACCGTTTAGAGAGGGCTGTAAAAGCATTGTGAAGCGGTATATAACTCTAAGTGCTATTGCTATTATATACACGTTTTTAACCAAGCATTCTGACTTTAATGAGATAAAATTAGTCATACATGAATTTCTATCACATTAGGGCTATGAACAGTATAGGCTTAATTATCTATGCTAAAATTAAACATAGTAATTAAGATGTCTGCTACCCACTCATTTGTAGAGATTTCAGATTAGTGTTATCAATACAGAGGACACCTATTTTTCAGAGGACACCTAGCTTTCATTAGAAGCTAAAACACTGCATAAAACATAGTCACAGAAAATACAAAATCTATTTAATACAGTCCTGCAAAAGCACATTTGGAAACATTATCTATACCTACAACTAAATATACAGATGTACACAGATACATACATATACATTTTCAAATACCATGTCATGGAATTCACCTCCCCCCAAAAAAGAAATAATTATTAAATTGTGACATGGACATGGATGTATTTTGCAGTTGAATTTTAAATAAAATAATTTCTATTCATTAGAAACAAAGGGAACTATATAAAGTCAGGAAACACAGATTTCAAGAGCAGACCAACAACCTACTGTACCAAAAAGTAGAGCTAGACATTAATAAAAGAAAATTAATCTGATAAAAGATACGCCAAATAAATCACATTCTGTATTTATATTGTTAATTTAATATAAATGATTTAATATATTTAATAGTTATCTAGGTTACCTTCAAAAAGTAGGTAAAGTAAATGTTTACCTGTATCCAGACGCTTTACAGGGGACTCATCATCCACCTCAGAATCTCCACATGCACTCCTTGATCTTTTCCTGGGCTGCAGTAGTGTCTCCAACCTTGGAAGGACTACAGACAAAAAGGTTTTGGTCCCTAGCTGTGGAGAAGTTGGCTGGGTTTCAGTGTTCTTTGCAGACTTTGGGGGGCTTACACTTTTCGATTTGCAGAAGAGAATTGATGTACGTCTGTTTACATCAGTTGATGACTCAGCTACAGCAGAAACAGTCGACTCACTGAGATTACTGTCAAGTAAATGTTCTGGAGTGTGTCCGTTTATTTCTTTCTCAATGGAAGTACTACACAATTCATTGTCAAATTTTACTCTTTTGTAAAATTTATTCTGCTCTGGATTGAGTTCTACTGGTTTGAGGGTTGGTGGCTCTGAATTAGTCTCCGAGTTTGAAGGAAGAGGTAATGCATCTGATGGTTCAAGTTTAGGGGGAGATTTATCTCCTGAAAAAATTAATAAAGTTGTTTTTTTGAAAACTGATAATTATAAGAGCTACTACATAAAACTTAGTATCAAATATGTAGCCCGCAGTAAATATTGTTTGATACAAAGTAAAGCATCTCATGTATGTAAACTTTAAACAAACTAACTGTCCTAGTTAATGACTAAATTTATGTGGGAATGATCTAAAAGTAAAAAAAGATTGGCTTTCATATTCAATGTCATTATTTGGGAATAGAAACTCTCACTGGAACCAATATTATGAATTCTTTGTGTTATGGACTTCATATCAATGATTTGAATATTTAAATATTAGACTTATACCGTAGTATTCTTGCCTTTTGGTGTTATAAAAGTATTTCTACTTCAGTAGAATGCACTGAATGAATTTATATGTACTTTATGTATTTTCCTTTTTTAGCAGTTCTTAGGTAAAAGAATAGGGGTTAAATTAATGTATTTAGAAAACAATATTATAAATATGACAAATTTTCACTTTAATTAAATTAAAATACTCTGGCAGAACACATTAAAATATTTCAGAGAACTAATTCTTATCAATTCCTCTTTTATATTCTATTTATTTATTTATTTAAGTAATATTTTAGAGATTCTTTTCAGAAGTTTTGTATCAGGAATTTTAGAATATTTTAGAATTTTCTTACTTGGTTTCCAAATACAGGTATTCCTTGCTATCAATGATAACTGGGACTGGGAACTTCATCACTAAGCAACCCAGTCATAAGGTGTGACATTACACGACCATCTAACAGGAGTTCCAGCAATTCCAGTTGCCACTGTTAGGTGAATACCATGCAACTGTATTGTGCCACAGTTATGTGATTGCCATTTGCTGTCTCCTGCTGGCTTCCCATTAACTTTGCTTGTTAGAAGTCAGTAACTGAGATCACAAATGGCAACCACGCAGGAAGGCCACAATTACAAAGATCCATCTTAAATCTCCCTCATTCAGTGCATCATAATTTCGAATGGATATTAAATCAGACTACTTGTATTACATGCATAAAACTGACTAGATAAAAACATAAACAAGGTAGTTAGTTCTATAAATTTCTTGTTAGTATGTCAGTCTGGCTTTATTACTGTGGATGCTTTTTGTATAGACAACAAACCAAAAAAACCCAGACAACACCTTACAAAAGTTAGTCTTCACATGGTATCTGAACATACACACACTGAAATTACTGAACAATTTAACCAAATTTATTATTATACAATTTTATTAATAAATTTATTTGAATCCCAATTTGAGATGTTAACCCCTACAATAATTTGGTTGAGAAAATAATTTCAGAACACAGACTTTGTGCTCTGACTTTTTGTGTCTTAACCTTTTTATTTTGTTTTGCAGAGGTTTAAAAAGCCCCCACCATAAAACTTTATTTCACATTTAAATAATCAACTTGATTAATTTGAAAATTTATGTTTTATAAAGGGGGATATTTACATTCCTACCAATTAATATATAGCTTACTAAGTGTATGGCCATGACTGATAATGATATTTCTATCCAATACACCTTTAGGGAATACATACTTTTAGAGAAATATTAGTAATGGTATCATCTCTGTAACAGAATAAGAAAGGCATAGCCATATGAATCCCACCAAAGGAATATACCTGAATTTAATAGCCATAATTTCCATACTGTTCTGTATACTGAACTATTTAGCCACCTTATTTTATGCTTATTTTTTTGACCTATTCTTATTGTTTCTCTTCAAATAACACCATTCAAGTTGGAATATAATTAGAGTAATTTTGATATTTAATCAACATACTTTAAGAAATTTGTGATCAGAGTTTTTCTAAAGGGGAAAAACTGGCCTTTTCTAATGAATTAGAATTTGTCACTGTTTTATTCATATGGTAATTCATTTTACTGCTATGTGAACTTCGGTTATTATATTATTAATAATGATTGCTATGTAGAATGTTATCAGCAGCTTCAGCCTGGAAATAACTAAACAAGGCTGCATACGTATGGCTATTTTTTTTTTAAAAAAATCTCATTTATCTTTTATTGGGCGAGAATGCAATTTGATCTGTGCATGTTCACTCAAAACTGTGGTTTATACTTCACATACTATAATATTAAAAATGAAGGCCAAAGGGGGAAAATGTAACATCTGAATCCTTCTTTCTACTCTCCCCATTTGAAGATGAAAATCCTGACAATTTGATAGAACACTAAAACAACCAAAAAACCTCACCTTGAGTGTAATGTTTTGTAAGACCATTCTTTTTACTCTATTTATATTGTATCAAAATTTTGCTATAAGACAATCTATAGCATTCAATAATTCTGTGTATATTCTACCTAAAGGATGCAGGCTTCTTTATGACAGTGCTTAAAGGGTCTTTACAACTTTTGTACTTCTGGTGCCTTTTGATTGTATGTGGAAAAAAATAGAATAGCTTTCCTATTTCATGCACTACAATTTGCAAACACTGGAATGTTCACAATTTCAATTGTTGTCAATTATTAAATCTGGAAAGTATCAGGTTATAAAAAGGTCTTCTGGGAAAAAAATCTTGCATCTTCTATCTTTATGACTTAGAACAACAATTTGGATTTTTTTAAACCTGTTCACCTCTCCCATTAAACTGGCTATGACACCACCACCAACCTCTTACAGATTATAAATTACTTAAGAATCAACTAGATTTCCAAATATTTAGTATTGTGATTGCGGGTCTGTCTTGGATGTGCGTTCTTTTGCTTTCTATAACATCTAATGTTTCTATTTACATCATTTTCCTACTTTTTAGATAAAATGCAAAGATATTGCTAAAACATTTTGCATTTCAGTCTCCTCTAGTATTGAACATATTTACAATTCTCCTTGTAGAAAATTAACATTTTGGAAACTGCACTCTTACATGTATTACCTGAGAGTAATCTCTACAAAAGAGAACAGATTTTTATTTTGAATAAAAATGCATGGAGTTGCTCTGCAAGTTTATTAAATGCATCAACAAATTTATGCTAAAACGTTAAAGTAAATTTAGGTATTAATAGTGACCACTAAAATATTTCTAAAATCTCCATTCCCCTTCCCTAAAAAGAGTATGGGGAAAGGAGGATATTTCTTCTCAGGGATTCAGAATTTACCACTTAAATATACTTTTTGATTCTGGGTAGGGAAAAATAGAAAAAAAAATCATTTCAAGCTATATTTATGTAGTCACAAAAAATACCCCTTATACTCCTATTTAGAACTGTTTTGGACTTCTAAAACTTTACAATTAATAGTAAATTACCTTTTCTATCCACCCCCAACCTTCTCCCTCTGAATGCACTATTATGATTTAAATCAAGATGTCTCTTACCTTCTTCTTCACTTTCGTGTTCCACTACTGCATTTTCTTCTTCAAAACTTCCAATACCTGATTCTATTTGAGGGGGCTGATGATGTTGCTGACTTATCTTGCTGCGAATCAAGTTAATTTCCTTTTTTAGAAGCTTTGCTCGTTTGCTCCGAGACCCACTGGATTTCATTGCACAAGTGAGATCAAGTTTTTCCAACAATTCTTTCAGCTGCTCTTCCAAAGACATGTGCACTCTGTTGGCAGGATTCAGTAACCTATCCACTGAATTAAAACACAGACATTTACAATACTTTTCTATAGTATGAGTAACAGCATGACTCTGCTGCACAATGATACTCAATAAAACAAAAGATATTAGATTGCTATTTCAATTGACTTACACGGCAAACACTAAAGCAGCATCTGACATTAACACAGGACCTGAAGTTCTATCCTAGTTATTATTTTAAAACATTAAATCTCCCTATGCCTTGTGGAATGATTTTGCTGGCATAAAAAGCTGGATGGCATACATTTCAAATTCAATTCGTGGCACCTTAAGAACAGATAATACTGCTACTATGACCTCAGCTGGCAATCAACTAACTTAATACATAAACTTGATATATTGATTGCATTCCTCCAGTAGCAATCTAATATGGAATATGCTACTACTAATGAGAACATCACTTTTCCGAATCCAATTCACAGACAAAAATCACATTGTGTATAGATTTTTACTCCTGAAGCACAACACAAATAGTTGCCACTTACTCCATTGCAAGGTAAGAACTGGCCAATTCTAACCTCTGCCTTAAAGTTAATGTTCAAATCAGCTTTTAATTTTAAGCAGCCAAAAATGATTTCTGTTTCACTCATGCAGTTTATTCTTGTATCTCAAAGTATTACTTCAATGTTTTCAACATGTGTCACGTGGTGTTAGAACACACAGGCTATATATGCATGATTATCCAAGATACTAAGCAGCCTCAAGCAAAGCCTGTTTTATTTTATTTTCATAGTACAAAGCTCTATAGCAATAAAGGCCTCCAGCCATTCTATTAAAAGAAAATGCAATTAATTTCTGGAAGAGACATTTATATCTAATATAGCTCTGAATTAAGTTGAACTTTATTCCAAAAATTATGAAACATTAACATCTTGGGGCGGCACTTATTTAATGATGCAGAACATACATTACTCCAACAGTCCTTCTCAGTAAATAAATTAAGATAAGGCAATCAATAATTCTTTACAAATCTACTAAACTGAATTAATGAGCTGCCATTATGCTTTTGTTTTTCATTAGTATTCAAGTAGGAATTCATATTAATTGTATAAACAGTACAAAGATAAGATCCAAGGTTTGACTATTGAGCCTTGAACTAAAGAATGGTCTTTCTTGGAACATCATTGCAAAGTAATTGATAAATTGTCACTGTAGCAGTCCAAACCACATTTTCTGAAAGGATAAATTTGATACTAAATATAAATTTAAGGAAAGAATTTATAGCAAAGCTCTGTAAAACTCACCTTCCCTGCCATGTGAATTTAGGTTAGCAATTCCATATTAGAAAAATCTAAAAAAACCTATTACTTGCCCAATAAATATATTATGTAATTAAAAGCTACCAATTAAAAAAAATCTGTAAAGTAAGATATTCCATTTACTACATTAATTGATCCACACCTGTCTACACCAATCATTCTCTCTCACACATACAAACCAGCTTGGGATATATAGAGACACTATCTTCCAACAGAAAGAACAGCGAATGAATAAATAAATATAAAGATGACAAATTGGGAAGAAACAATAGGAAGGGAAGTAGAGAGATATAGACAATGAAGAAAACAGAGAAAAGTTATATTTAAGCATTAGAAAAAAGCTCCATTCATGAAGCAAATAGTCTCTTCCAAGCAGCAGTTCAAAAGCACATAATACAACATAACACAGAGATACTTCAGAGTGTCTCATCTTTTCCTTTTTTCTTATTAATAGTAATCCATCCACATCAACATTGTTTTAAATGCAGGACTAATTTTAAAACAACTTGTGGTACAGGATATGTAGAGTTAAATATGTACAATTCTTGCCTAAGAATGTAGAAGAACATGCCTAAAAGTGTTCATTTACTGTGTAGAATATACATGCAAAAATATGTCTGTTCATACAAAAATATGAAAATATTGCTGCAGTAGTTGACATTTATCTCCTTACCATCTTCCCAGGTAAAAGGTGGAGGAGATTCAAGTTTAGGCCGTTCAGGTAAGTGCATTCCAGTTTCATTATTATATCCAATTGCTTCAGCATCTCTTCTAGCTTGTCTCAAAACAACACCTCCTTGATCTCTTAACCGCACAGCAGCCCTGTAGAATATTGTATCTTTTGCATTGTACTTCATACAATTCTCAATAATAAGGTTGAAATCTTCTTCAAACTCATCGAGATTTTTATAACCTTGGGTATCTAACCGTTTTCTCATAGTAGAAAAATCCATGGGATGTTTGATGTGATCCAAATAATCAGGAACCTGAAATACAGATTTTAAATGGAAGACATGTAGATAGGATGTATGGATAGATAATAATGGAATGCATAAAACCAAAACATGTATTTTGTTCCATGCACTGAACACACTGCAACTCAAAAGTAAAGTTACACCATTTTAGTATGGGAGTGGGGTGGGGAGGGGTGTGGGGAGGAGAGTGGGGTGTTGTGGTTTCAATCCAGATGAACCGAATCCTGCAAGATGTCAATCATTCTGGTTTTTACCAAGAGAAATCTGGAGGGGTCTTATAGGATAAATAGAACAAGGCTGATGCATTCTGTACTTATTGCATGTCTGTCTGAGCATCTTACTCCTATGTTCCTTCCTCCTTAGCTGTATGTTTCATTCCTTCTGTGTCATCTAATTCCAGGAGCTAATATTTAACTGATCAGCAACACTCCCTAATAAACACAATACTTCCTTTTCTTTACTTCTTTTTGTTCAGTGTTACTACCTGAATAACACTCCTGGTGCCACTCATGTCCAGATAGTCTGTCCACCTTTCCCAAATCATCCCAATAATGCTTTCCTTTCCTCCCTTAGACTTTGCATGCTACATCATTCCACTGATCTTTTTCCTACTGTTCACATTCTGGACAACTGTCCATGTCTCAACATGTTTGTTGTAGTCTGAACACAGGCTGCACAAAACCATCAGTTCTATGCATAGAATATTCTGCACATTCTTATATGCTCTTTGAATAATATACTGAAATTCAAAAGACTGTTTTGAAAAACTGCAACGGATTATTAGAAAATATTAAGAAAAACCAAAATGGCCTGATTTTATTCTACACTTTTTGACACTTAGAACTTGACTCTTGCATCTTATTCTAAGCATCCTACATTTAAATGCATTTTTTTTGTCTCAAAATTAATTTAACCTAATTAAGTTAATTTTAACATTTAAAGCCTGTATTTCCAAGGAAGAAATGGTGAACAAAGCAACTTGGTTTGAAGCGAAGCAGATGACCATAGTGGAATGAAGAGTCAGCAAGTAGACTGCTTCTTTGTAATTCCTCTCCAGACAAGAAGAGGACTTGAAATCACTCACAAGTGTTTGAAACAGTTGTTCCTCACAAGGAAACCAGAAGATAACAGTCTCTGGTGGGTTTAGAACTCTGGAAGATGAAGGAATAGTCATCTTGCTCAAACTATGGCTTGGTGCCTCAAAAGAACACTGGGTTTCCATATTTTTTAAAAACATTTTTGGAAACTGCTTGTTAACTAGATTTAAGCTATTAGAAACCTTTGGATTTTATAACACTGAGTTACCTTTAATCCTTAGTGAAAGAAGTTTCAAAATTTAAGGACTTAATTTTTTTTCAGTAAAAGGGTGATTACAGGTAATCCTCAATTTATGGTCATTCGTGTAACTGTCCAAAGATGTAATGGGACTGAAAAAAACTGAGTTATGATTGGTTCTTGCACTTATGACTGTTGCAGCTTTCCCCATGGTGAAATGATCGAAATGTGACTGCTTGGAAACCAGCATGTATTGACAACGATTGCAGCATCCCAGGGTTATGTGATCACCATTTGCAACCTTCCAAGAGAGCATACAATGAGCAAAATCAATGGGAAAGCCAGATTCACTTAACAATTATATGACTTGCTTAACAGTAATGATTCCCTTATGGATTATGGCAAAAAAAAAAATAATTGCAAAATTGGGCACCATTCTCTTAACTGTATTCTTCAAATCTCAAGGCTGGTTGCAAAGACTATCTGTGAATCTTTGATGTTAGAAAGTTATAAATGGGTTAAAATCCATATAAATGAATTAATTATAAGGAATCTTTCCCATGTGAAAATGGTTTTGAATTCTTAAGAAAGCGTAAAATAAGACATTAAAAATCCCAGATTACAACTGTTTGTTTCAAAGTAATCACGATACTGAAAAAAGTCTGGTCCATGCACTTACAACCAACCCTCACACTTATAACCATTGCAACACCTATATATTCACATGATGCAATTTAGGGGCTTGGCAACCATCTCACATTTATGATTGATCACAGATCAATCCTAAATTCATGTGACTGTAACTGATGGCTTTTTTTCAGATTTTCAGCAGAATTTCACAAGAATAAGTTTGCACCTATGATCATGGAGTTTGTGTCAACTGAAGCTTTGTTTAAATAACTATGATGATTCACTTAACGACCATCATAAAAATGGTCATAAATATTAGGTCCGACTTGACTTACAATCCTAATGATTGAAATTCTTGTCCAAACTGTGGTCTTTATTCCAGGACTATTTGTAGATAAAAGTAGACGAAAATAAAAAATTACAATTAAAGAACACTCAAACTTGACTTACTAACAGTGAATAAAGCAAAATATTTTAAAACATACTAAAGGATGTTTTTGAACAATGGACCCAGAACTTAATTTTAAGAGTGTCTGTAGATTGTAGACTATATTTAAAAATGCTACAAAAAAGAATCAAATATTGCCTGACAGAATTGAGATTGATTTGAAAATGAATTTAAAAATGAGTAACTTTAAAAACAAGTTACAGGAATGACATGGAAAAAGATGTCATACTGGACATACAAAAGAAATGAATTCTTGTCTTAATAATAAAAAGGGATATACAGATAAAAGCCAATAGAGTGACCTGGATAATTTTCCTATACTGGATTTACAAAAAGAAAAAAAAGGTTTGTTGAAGCTTTGTAGAATATGAGAAAGGACAAACTGGAAAGAAATACTTATTTGAAGGGATTAAGAGCAAGACTGTTAGAAGTAATGGAATGAATATAAAGTTAGTCAAAATAAATATGTGGTTATCTGTGGTAACTCTTAATGGACTTTTGCTGAAATCAGGACAGATATGACTAAATTTTATGAATTTATTACAGATAAGAGATGGTATATGGAAGAGACCATTTGTTGTATTTTTTAAAAAGGTAGTATTAAAATTGTTTATACTGTGATGAAGGGAGAAGTCATTTCTTTAAATATTTTTCTGTTTTATTTAGCATATTCTTACTTTTCTTTCTTTTAATTTTAAATTTTCTGACTTCTTTTTTCTTTTCTTCACTTTCTATTTTTTTCTGTTTATTTTTCTAGGTTTCTTTAGATAGTACTATTGTAAACCTTTGATAAAATTATTTTTAAAGACATTTAAGTCAAATAATCCAAAACTATGTATTCAAAATATTAATCTCTTCTCAGATATTAATATTATATGCCTACAGAATTTAAGTAGTTACTGAAGCAATTCTGCTTTTCTCTTTCTAAATTTAATGTAGTTAAGTTAGATTTTATTAAACTTTTTTACAGTCAAAACAATGACAGATGTAATGACTGTTACATTCTACTGGATCAATGAATGTTACATTCTACTGGATCAATATATCAGAAATGTTTAATTTTACCTCTTTAAGATTCACTGGTTGAGCAAATATACGAGCAGAATCCTTTTCCTGTAGCTGGTCCAGTACTGAACGCAATAATACAGTAAATGGAGTCAGTTGAAGCTCCATGGCAACCTGTTCCACTTTGATCTGCACAACAGAGGACAATTATAATCTATTTTATCATCAAAATACGATCACTGGCTACTTTGCTGCTATAATAAATCATGATTAAAGCTCAAACCTATTAAAACTACATTTAGTGATAAATTCTACCATTGTAATGAAACTTTCACAATGAAGTTATAGGCAGAAGGAATATGCATATGTGCATAATTTTTAATAGCACAGGAAAATATAGATAACATACATTAATTGCAGAAATTATTTATTTAGCACGTACTTGGTCAGTTCAGACTTTAATTACATGCTTTATAGTGCACTTGGATCACTTAACAAATCCAACTCTAGCATTTATTAATAAATTGTTAAGCCCGGTAGGAGGCAAATTGACATGTAGGAGTACATCTGACATGTAACTATAATGCTCTCTTAAGATTCAGTAAACTTCACCATATTTAACCTTGGTATTGAAAGGAGATAAGTCTAATTGTTGTTTGGTTTTTAAAGCTATCAATTCTGAAACACAATTTAACAAAAAATAACCATATAATAGTAATTATATATTGAGTATTCAGATTTCCCCTCCTTTTCCAACAAATGATTATATTTTTCTATACTTTAAAAAAAACAATAATGATTTAGCAGATATGATGATACAGGAATCTTTAATATATAATATATGTTGATCAAAGAAGAATGATTCTTTCCTTCTTTCTTTGAAAATAGGTTATAAAAAATATTTACTAAGCTTAACCAAAATTCACCTTCATTAGAATTATATATATTAAAACAAACTTAATTCTACAAGTAGCAATCATTTATGTTGTACCACTCATACACAAGAGAGAGTCCCTATAGTTGCAGTAGTGGGTAACACTATTGTTGGGGTAAGCAAAATTATGCAAAATATAGAATGGAAATAAGAAATAATAAACTAAAGAAATGCCAACATAATACTTCATATTTTAAATACCTCATATTTTAATAACTTTGCAAACAACCCGAGACTACCAGATCCATATAGCAATTCAAACATTGTTTTTATTTTGTTTTTTAAAATTCTTATCTCTTCTGATCGTCTTGAGGATCTTATTAATTCCAGCCAACCATGACTTCTGCTTTCCCTTTTCTCTCAGCTAATTCACATTCTTTAATACATATATAAGTACTTTCTATATAACAACTGCTTTAGACATGAACCATGCATAGTTTTGGTGATGAAAAAGTAGCTTTGCAACCATTGCCTAAATTTAGATTTCACAGCATTTATCACATTTGCTATTACTGTCAGTTAAGTATACATTGTCCTGTGCCTGACCCATTCCCCCTTCCCCACCCCACCCCCACCAAGAGTAGAGAGATCACCGAAACAAGCTATCACCACCTGACAATACAGCACATCCCTAAAAAATACTAACTTTCTTTATTGGCTGGCAGCAACTGCCTGAAATTAACAATTTATCAGTTGCACACTAAAGGCTTTTGTTAGGTTCCTAGTGTCTCCTAGTTGATTAGTTTCAATGTGTATTCCTCATTGTGTACTTCAGAGGTGGGTTCGACTTACCTTTACTACCGGTTCGCAATGGGAGCGCACGCATACGCAGAAGCTTCTGCACATGCACAAGATCGTCAATTATGACGTCCGGGCGGGTGAGCGAAGCCTCCCGCCGCTTTTACTACCAGTTCTAAAGAACCAGACAGAACCGGGAGCAACCCACCACTGGTGTACTTGCTGCCTTCTAATTCCATCCTCTCCAATGAATGTAAACACAAACATTAATTCTATTTTTGATAATTATCACAGCACTGCGGTAAGCATTCCAAAGGGTGGAGAGTGGGAAAAAGGGGCTGTATGATTTTTTTCCTTTTTACTTGGTTTCCTTATGAGTTGAGTTCTGAAAGCCTTTCTGGCTGTATGAGCTGACTTCGCCATTTAGGTTTCTATCCTTCTGATGCTGTATAGCAAAGGAAAGCTGAAATAAAATCCTAACAACAGTTTGTGGTCATGTGTTTTTTACTTAATGACTATTTTGTTAATTACTGAGTTGCTAGTTCCAATTGCGGTCACTTTTGTGGACCTCTGAAGTTAACTAACAATATGATATTTAGTCATTCTTTATATAACAAAATCACTTCAAGATAGATAGATAGATAGATAGATAGATAGATAGATAGATAGATAGATATAGATATAGATATAGATATATAAATTTGATTTATATGCCGCCCTTCTCCGGAGACTCAGGGCGGCTTACAAAAATATTTTTATTTATTTATTTATTTTGCTTTAATTTATATGCCGCCCTTCTCCGGAGACTCAGGGCGGCTTACAATGCGTTAAGCCATAGCCTTCATCCTTTTGTATATTTTATACAAAGTCAGCTTATTGCCCCCACAACTGGGTCCTCAATTTACCTACCTTAGAAAGGATGGAAGGCTGAGTCAACCTTGAGCCTTGGCGAGATTCGAACCTGCAGTAATTGCAGGCAGCTGGTCTTAATAACCATCTTAATAACAGGGTGCCTTAGACCACTGTACTACCAAGGCTCTTATTACTTTTGTACTGCTCACTTTTGTTTTCAATTTATGTTAAATACTTCCATTGTTAATTTTATCTTGTTTTAGTTTACTACACACACAATTAAGTAATTTTGTGCTATTTTTAAAAGGTCAAAAGGATGCTGATTATTAGAAAATAACGCTGCCACAATAATTTGCCTATTGGAAAGCCTAGATAAATTATACAGATTATACTTTCCAAATTCCTGAAGTCAGGGCAAAGACTTATGTTTCTCTATAGCTCCAAACCTTAAAATGATGTTGAATTATGTTTTATATTCTAATTGCTTCAGAAATTCAAAAGAATACAGGGCTCAGCCTTTCTTTGATGGACTTATTCCTTCAGAAATGCTTCCTATTATGATTATTACTAACACTCAGGCTTTAAGAATAGGGTAATTGGATATAGTACAAAGAGAAAAGAAAAAAATATTGAAAAAGTAGTCTTAGTTCTTTATGGAATGAGCAAAATTACCCTACTTTCACAAAGGTATCAACTGACTTTCTATCTGTTAATAGAAAAAAACACTACTGCTATGGCCAGCCTAAGCACTTAAAGAAGAGATGTAATCTTGGACTTGCTAGAAGGGGCAGTGCAAGAACATATGAGCAATTATTTCTAGAAAGTGATTAAACAACGACATAAATGATCTAATGTTGCTGTCCCTTCCTTCTACCATCCTAGATGATATCATTAATCCTCACTACAGTGCTTGCTATTACAGTAGATGTAAAAGGGAAAATAAAATCTCTCCCATTACAGGAAAAACAGCTCTATCATTTCCATTCACTACCAAGTGAAACTTGAGGTATGTAAACTCAGACAAAATTGTCAACAGCTTTATATACCTGTTCTCTTTTTAATTTTTCTCTTTTTCGTATAAGCTCTATCAACAACCGTGCTCTTTCAAGATCATGACGGAGTCTTTGCCAGTACTTCAATTTCTCTTTTAAGGCTTGTGTTTCTTCATCATCTTCCCTCTTAAGAAACAAACAAAAATCATGTATTTGTTAGTTTAATTTTAACATTAAGTAGCTAATAACTCTATTGCAAAAACAACTGTTAGTACATTTTGCCTTCAGTACAAAATTGGCAATGCTTTTTCTTCATGTAAAACACAGCACGTCAATTTTGTATTTACACTTAATTTAATTCATATACCGTATATTTACTCCTTGTGTAAAATATAAGCATTCACGTAATTTATATTATTCATAATTATAGTGGTCCTGGATAATTGTACCCATACATTATTAGCTCAAATAAGCCAAATAATTTAATCATATGTGAAGTAAGGAAATAAAGATACCTGTTGCGTGTTTCTTTGTGACTGCAAGCTGGACTGCAGTCTTCTCAATAAAGGAACACCATTTCTGGACAACCTTTTAAGTAGCCAGTAACTGTGGACTCTTTCTACAAATTGCTTCTTTCGCTGAATTGCCACCTGATTCATAATTTTATTTAATCTAAACAGGAAAGAAAGAAATATTAGTATTTTAAAATAAAACACAGAATTTTAATTATAAATCTGACCAGATTTTATTGTTGTTTCAAAAATATTCTACTATACAAACATCTTCACATGGTTCTGTATCCAAAGAACAACTTGGTGCAAAGATACTTTTTTTCAATTATTTTTCTAATATTAGATACTTGCGTCACAAATTGTTGGTAGAAATCCCTTCAAGTTTAAAAAATGTATTTTATATTAAAGAAGAATGCTAAACAAACATATAGTAACATTTTTGGCATGGGGAATCAGTTACAATTATTTAGGTTCAGAATACTATTATCAGTTATGCAGAAACTACAAAATCTGATGTATCACATTATTTAATTCTTTTATACTTTGAAGTATTTACTCAGATCTCCAGAGTAAGATTATAAAAGAAACTCTTAACAATTCATATATTCAAAAATCTTCAATAAGTAAATGAATATATATTCATTACAAATTTTGTTAATTATTTAACATTCCAGAGTAAGGTTACCAAACAAACGCTCAACACTTAAACACTTCATATATATATTTATTGAAATGTGTGTGTGTGTGTGTGTGTGTGTGTGTGTGTGTGTGTGTGTAAAAGGTTAAAATCTCGGGTGTTTTCCCGTGTCATTAAAAGTCTGTTAGTTAAAATGCTTAAAATCTTAAAATCCTGGCTAAAATCCCAGCTCAAAATCCTCTAAAATCCTAACAAAACACTTTGTAAGGTCTTTTAAAACTTTGGCTAAAATCCTAACCAATACTTTAAAAGTTCTTTTGGCAATATTTCGACAAGCTCTCTAACTTGTCATCATCGGGCCCCTACTTTCAGTTTAGAAGCTGTGGGTATGCTGCGAGGTTGGAGTTGTCACTTTTCTCTGTTCGCTGCTGCTGACGTATGCTGGTTAGCCTGCAACTCTGTGTCCTGATTGGAGGGCAACCGTTTTTTTTCTCCTGCTTCATTATCATAGCTACAGCCTGGCTGCGTGTCAAAGGCCCAGCTTTGTCTGGTTCTCTATTACTAACTGTTACCTGCAAAGAGGGAAGGATTCTGGTAGGCATCACAACAACACTGGTTGCCTGTTGAGATCTCAGCCTATCTTCTAATGACGTGGGAAAACACCCGAGATTTTAACCTTTTACATACACACACCCGCGAAAACCTGAGAAGACACACACTTATATATACACACACCTTCAATAAATAAATGACACAATTCATTACAAATTGTGTTAACTCAATTTTTTACCGCTTTCATCATTACCATTATATAAGGCAGATCTGCATAAAAGTTCACAATACTTAAATCCATTAAATTTATTTATTTTTGGAAGATTTTAGACCACAGGTTCATACATATTTGTCAGTCACTTTTATTATTTATTTATTAGATTTGTATGGTACCTATATCAACCATCGAGTTACTTTAATTCATGAAACCTTCATAGCATCTTCTTGATTTCCTAGAGATTAATTTTCAGCTGATAGATGAGTTATGCAATTGGCTATCTATCTGCTTGATATATCCTCTAGTTCTATTATTATTCCAATCTTATTTGCTTCATCTAAGTCAGGTTGTCAGCAACCTGCGGCTCTGGAGCCGCAGCTGGCTCTTTGGGCCCTCTGCTGTGGCTCCATGTCAAGTGATCCCACCACTGGCTGGCCCCACCCCTCTCCCTCCCCTCCCAGTCACTCCTTGCCTGGCCTGAGAAGCTAAGGGTGACGGCGGGGGATGGAGAAGCGGCCAGGGGAGAGACAGAGAGATACAGAGCATGGGAGAGAAACAGACATAGAGAGATACAGAAAGAGGGGGGGAGAGAGAGGGAGAGAGGGGGGAGGGAGAGAGAGATGTCAAAAGGTTTTTTTTTGATTCCCAGTGTTTTTTAACAACCGGTTCTCTTCCTAATGACTGGTTGGGTAGGCGTGGCTGGGGGGGGTCATGTGACTGGTGGAAGTGAGTGACTTCGAGTTGGCCACACCCACCCAGGTTTTGTGGCTCCCGGTGTTTTCTTTTCTGTGGGAAATGGGTCCAAATGGCTCTTTGAGAGTTTAAGGTTGCAGACCCCTGATCTAAGTTTACTAACAGGTGCACCCTATTTCCTGCAGTTATTTCTCAGTATAAACTGAATTAGATAATAAAGTATTCTATTTGAAAAAATAGATACAATTAAAACACCACTGGGAGCAGATATAATTATAGATGAGTACTAAAAACTGATATTAAAACAAACTTATAAGAAATAGGCTTTATACACTTGAGTAAATAAATGAAAAAAGACATAATTATCATCCATTTCCCCCCTTCAGATTATGGTTCCCCAAACAATAACTAATGCTATTTGTGAAGGGAAGCATTTTCCATAAATTTAGTATAATATTGAGAATTCCAGTCTAGAGGAAACTTGGCTACCAGAATAAAGTGTATTTGCTCCCCCAATCTCTTATTATAATGAATTGTGAAACCCTGTATCCCTTCTTAGTTTCACTGGGTTTAATAATTTAACACTATCTACAAATACTTATTAAGTCCTGAGCAGTATTTATTTTACAATCCAGAAAGGACAGGGTTTTTTAAAAAGTAGATTACAAACTACCTTCATTTTTGAGAAACAACACAATTATTATATTTTAGCTTAAAAGTCTTCCTTATTAGTCCAAGGACATTCAGAACGGAAATTTTCAATAGGACAACATTTTAAAATAACATTTAAATGTAACAAGCCTTGCTCCTGATGTATTCCGATCGAGTGTATTCCAATCGAAAAGATTTTATAAATTTGTAACGTGCAAGTACAAGACTGTTTTATTTTAACAAACCTGAAGGCAGAGCTGCCTGACATATTCATATTAGTTAATAGTAGCAGCACATTATCATTTAATAGTTCAATAAACATTTTAAAATATTCTTAAATTCTTAATATTAAATTATCCAGAACACATATGTACAGAAAAAGGTTCTAAAGTTACTGTTACGTTAAACATAATCTGAAAATTGTTAGAAATCAAGTAAGGAATATCATAATACAATTCTACATAGCTTATTCCTGACTTCAAAGTATTGCCTGCCAAAAAGGAAACAAACTATAGATATCTGTTCAAGTATCAAACTAAATAAACTACAGAAAGAATTTCTTTGTTTTGCTTAAATATAAGTCATGGACAAGGAACAATGTATATTAGCTAAAGTTATCTGTTTCATAGCTTATAAGTTTGTACTTGAAGTTCACTTAAGTTCTAGAAACATTTTGGAAGTCTGAAGAGTTAAATATTTGATATATTTAAGATATAAGACACAAGAACAAACAATATTTTGTTTTCCAAATAGCCAGACTGTGCAATGCCAATGATGTATGATTATGGAAGCTGTATTGCAAAATACGTAAAGGACAAAATTTTGTTTCTTCTTAGCAAGCACACAAAATGCAATACAACTCCCTTCTTCTTTCTCCATAAGATATGTCTGCAACTTGAATAATAATTTAGAAACTGATATCCGATATAAATATAAACTGATATGTGTTTTTGAAAGCAGCATATTACTAAAATCAATTATACACAAGAAAACATGTAATGCTTCACCATATAGTTTATTAAACAAAATTGAATAATTCCAAATAGCTGGCATAGGCAGCTGATCAGGGACATAATCAAAGTATGCACAATTTCTTTCATGGAATACTAAATATAGACAAGGAAAAATCAAAACATACGGTTTAGGATCAGTTTACTAAACTAGCTGAAAGGAAATTTAGTAGAAATGAAAGGAAAATACTTCCTCTCACACTATATAATTAACTTGTGAAATTCATTACTATCAGACGTGATTACGGTCACTCATCTGGATGGTATTAAAACAAGAGAGGATAAAGGCATGAAGAACAGGTCTATCAAGGCTTTTAAGTCTTGAAAAGTCAGTGTTACTTCCAGATTGGAAATAACATGCCTTCAAATACCAGATGAAAAGAAACAACAACAGGATGGGGTTATGTTCCTACCTCTGGCTTGCATAGCTTCAGATTCAAAGGCAAAAAGATGCTCTGGAGCATGACTGAGCACTCACACAGCAACTCCTTAAAGAGCTGGATTGTTTCCCAGGATCATGTAGCTATTCTTTGCAGCTGTGGCATTATCCAAAGAAAAATCTTTATTTTAATGAGTTACAGATAGGTGCTACATATGCAAATCCACATACTCCAGGGCAACTTTCTGCCTTTGAAACATAAACACTGCATAGCCCTAATACATATCTAGCAGTCATTCTCAATTAGTCACCAGGCTTACCTATTCCAAATTAACACAAGGAAAACAAATGAAAACCATTTATGACTGAAATTTATTGCTAAAGTAAAATCTAAAAGAATGACCATTTCTCATTTCCTTTAATTGTTAATAATCTGGAGCCTTTAGTGCATCTTGTCCTGAAAAAGCCTATTAACCATTAATTTTTGCTTCTCATTAATAAGTTGGTAACACTGACAACTGCAAAAAAAAAATATTTTCTTACCTCTGGGGAGGGACACATGGAGCAGATACTGCAGGCATAACCGCACATGTTTCAGTTAGTGTTTTCTTTGACTTTTTAGCTTTTTTTCTGATCCTTGATGTAGACCTGGTTTTGGGCATGCCCTCCTTTCGATAGAGGCCATTTTTCATTTCAGCTTCTCCATAAATATTCAGAGGCCTCCGAACAGATCCTGGTGGTGTATGTATATCGCAATATGCAGTTTTTTTCACTGAGAATGTTGTGCTGCCACCAGTTAATTCTTTCACGGGTTCCATTTTCATATACAAACCAGCTTTTTGAGCGCATGTAACATGGAATGCTGTGTAACAGTTTGCTTTGTGGCACTGAATACAGGCACCAACACCTTTCTGTTTACAGAGGTAGCATGTTAACTTCCATCGGGCAGGGGGAATGTTTTTGACTCCATCTATTGGCTCAATAAAAACTGTATTGGCAAATCCAACCTCTGGAATCCAAAGAGCACACACAACATGTCCCCACCGATCATCATCAGTCTTTTTAAAGGCACCTCCTTTGTTTGGACACAGTACACAGTCTACAGGCCTTGAACGGGATTGCAGACATTGCCTGCAAAGCCACTGGCCCTCAGGTATATATGGCACCCCGTAACACTCCTGATGCACTGCTAAATTACACATGTCACAAAAAAGAATCACATTGCTGTTCTGACATTCTCCATCCATGCAAATACAACAAACTGCATCTTCGTCAATTAAAGATTGATGTTCACCCTGTTTTTGAGTCTCGCAGTAAGACTCTTTTTCAAAACGGTCCATAAGAAATTCAAACATATTTTGTGATACAACCGAGACTCCATCACTTTTTCGCTTCTCGTTGATTATTTCTAACCATGCATAATCTTCTTCATCCATATCATACTCTACTTCATTATCTAGTTCTTCTGAGGACTTTTCAATAAATTTGTAATAGGTTGGAGGTCTACGAGGTGCAGAAGGTGGGCTATATTCAACAACATGCACTTTTGGTTCTGGAAGAGTACTTGCAGTGGGTGGAATGCCATGTGTGTTTGGGAGAGTTTCACTTTTCTTTTTAACTTTATTGTTTCTGTGTCTCTTTGCTCTCAGAGAGACCAGTGGCCTCTCGCTATTTTCTTTATTGCTGTTGCATTCACTTAATTCTTGGGCTGTAAGATCATCTTCCAATATAATCTCTAAGGGTTCAAAGATACTGATTCGGTGTAAGCGACCTTCAATTTCTATTTCTACCATCCTTTGCGCTTGGGCATAGGTTAAGGTTTCTCTCGTAGGGGACCGTTTAATACTGCATGGAGAAGAAGAGTGCCGTGCTGAAGATACTCGATGACATCTTCCTTTCCTCCTCATTTGGTAATGATTACCTACAATTTAAAAGAGTGATAGTTAAAATAGTAAGCTTGAACTATACTATAAAAACAGGAAAGTTTACTTTTTTTCTCTTGAACGGTAAGGCTAGTACCTGCATTTTTGAAAAATATGTACTAGAAAACAAAACACACAACTTAGAATGAAGAATTCCACATCTGTTTTACAATTATAGTAATTGATATTAGTATCTACCTTTATCCTACATTAGAAACATATTCTTATATTATAGGAACAACTTTTGAGACAAAATGAATAGAAACACTGCTTTAATTGAAAAAAAAATGGTCTAAAGATAAAAGTCTACCCATAGTATAATTATCTTAAAATTATTAAGCAACTTAAATTATTCTGAAATTCCTACTTTTAAAAGCTCATTTACAGACATTCACAAATTAGTTTTGTTTTCCCTATCACAGAATTATAGAGGACTAGGAGAGACCTTGGAGATCTTCTAGTTCAACCCACTGCCCAAAGCAGGAGTCTTATACCATCCTGGACAAATAGTTGTCTGATCTTCTCTTGAAAATGTCTAGCAATGGAGAACCCACAACTCCAGGAGGCAAGCTGTTCCACTGATTGTTTTCACTTTCACTTTCCTCATTAGTTCCACATTGATTCTTCCTCTGAGGCGTTCCACCCATTGCTTCTTGCCTGTCCTCAGGTTCTATGAAGAACAAATCAACACTCTGTTCCCTTCCTTCAAGTACTGGAAGATGGCTAAGCCTTTTCTTTATTAGGCTAGACATACCTAGTTCCCTTAGCTGTTTATTGTGCAATCCAGAAACTTTATCATCTTTGATGATCTTCTCTGAACTTTTTCTAGGGGCTTCTACATCTTTTTTTGTATCATGGTGACCAGAACCAGATGTAGTATTCCAAGTGGGACTTCATTAGTGAAATACAGGTAGTCCTTCACTTACAGCTATTCACGGCTCCTCAGAAACAATTGAGAAAAAAAAATATCTGGAATAGTAATTGACCAAAAAGTAACTTCTAATAATGATGTAGCTCCCTATTTCTTTTGATGTTCTCAGATCATATTATGTTGTTGCATTACTGCAGTTATCATTTAATTTTCAGTCTTGCTTGCCCACACATGACAACAGCTCAAGTAACATCAGGAACTGTCCATGGAAGACTTTCATTCCCAAAGTATAGTGGGAGGAAATTATCTTTGTTGTAATCGATTTCTTATACACGCAGAAAGAGTGCATTTAAAAAAAACCTGGAAACCTTTTCATGGAGAGTAGAACTAAAAATGGCAAGAAAAATAGACCAAAATCACATTACTATTGGTGAGTGGGAATTGGTATAAATATTTTCCGGGGTGTGTGTGTGGGAGGGATGAAAACTCTAAATGTAATTCCAGTGAGTCAATCAGAGTTCATTTTTTCTAATTTTTTTCTGGAAAGTTTCACTGATGCAGTTGATTCTATTTTAACAAAAGTGCAAGATAGGACAAATAATAATCCTTATGTACCACACATATATTATGTATTCTATTTGGAAAAGTTGTACTGTAATGTGAAGTAGATTAGACTTAAAGTATACATTTAAAACATGTAGAAAAATAATCCATGTTTGGACCATTCTGATCAAGAGTACCCAGATAAAGACTATACGTTAAGACATATCTATAGAGCTCTGCTATTCCCAATTAATTCCCCTCTCAAACTTTAGCATATGGATATATAGTACTCAAGAACACTGAACAGAACAGGACATTTGTCTAGAGCTCCCTTACACCAATAAGTCAAGGAACATGAGCAAATAGAATTACCGGTAAATAAGTTGGTGAAGAGTATGGAACAAAGCTCAATAAGATCTTATTCCCACTATAAAGATTCTGTACCCATTCAGCAAAGAACCAATTACAATTACAAATAAGCAAAAACATAAACTGTTAGGAGGAAAATATATTTAATAATTTTCAATTATCTTCTGTTCCAAATGAATCACCAACACACTATAAAATACATTTAAAACTTTACTCAACCATTTGGTTATCATAAATTTAAGAGCTGCCAATAAGTTAAATCTTTTCACTGGACCAGCATTTCTGAATCTTGGCAACTTGAAGATGTGTCTTCAACTTGAACTCTCAGAATTCCACACATATCTTTAAGTTGTGAAAGTTGAGTAACACTGCAGTGCTGTTTTTCAGGAAGAGACTGGGCAGTCATCTACTGAAGATGAATCCTGCAGTGTTCAAGAGTTGGATTTCTAACTTCCATCTAATTCTCTAAAGTTTATACGTCTTCCTGTAAAAATTTATATCAGGGCGCATGTGCAAACTATGTCTTAAGTCATAGTACCAGTTTTTCTGAATGACATTAATTTATGCTCATAATTTACTTAGATTAGAATCTCAATTTCTTTCTACTTTTCAAACTGATTATAAAGCTTTATTAAAAAATATAGAATCCTAAAACACAGTTAACCATATAACTTTTTAAAATTAGTTTTTGAAAGCATTCCTGTCATAGGTAATGCATAATACCAATTACTGTAGAATAGCTAAGCAATCAAGAACTGATAAAGCTGCTATAGACTAAAAAGGCTTTTTAAACAGTATATATTTTAAGTGAAATTATGTTAAAATAGTGATAAGAAATAATAGCATGTGCAGAGTTCCATAGACTTAACATTTATTCCATGGGCTATTTAATATATATTTCCATTTGTACAACAATGTATTCACAAATCTTGCATCAAAATAAATATTTACAAAACTCAAAAGTTATGATTTACTTAAGTTATTTTTAAAATAGCATCTTATAGCCAAGTTTAGTTTCTACCCAAAAACGGTAATCTTTTACAGTTGTAAATAACTATATACAACTTTAAAAGTATGTTACAAGTAGCAATTTAGAATGTAATTTTATGCTTATAAAATAGAATATAAGATTTCAACAGGTTTCATTCTCAAACACAAAGCACACTACAGTTCATCTTTCTTAACAATCTTTTACGGTAGGCCATTATTATAATTTTACAGCCAGTAAAACAGATATCCCAGTTCTAAGCATGCAGACATACCCCAAGCAGGTAGTCCTCAACTTACAACTATTTAAAGTTACAATGTCAGTGAAAAAGGTGATGTGACTATTTTTCACACTTAACAAACACTGCAGTACCTCCATGTGACCAAAATTCAGATGCTTGGTAACTGGTTTATATTTAGGGTTGCAGTATCCAAGAGTTACGTGATCATCTTTTACAACCTTCTGACAAGCAAAGTCAATGGGTAAACCAGATTGACTTAACATCAGTGTTACAAACTTAACAACTGCAGCAATTCATTTAACAACTCTAGCAAGAAAGGTCATAACATGGAGTAAAACTCACTTAACAAATGTGAGCAACAGAAATTTTGGGCTCAATTGTGGCTGTAAATCAAGGTCTACCTGTACAACATAAACTACCTGTATTAACTTCAGAGAATGCTTAAATCAGACATTGTCAAAATTATTTCAGACAACAAACAGATGTGGTTGAATTCAACATAATTATTAAACTGAAGCAATAACAGTCAACACTTCTTGCAACTGGTTATTATTTATTTATTTATTATTTATTTATAACCCGCTTTTATTATTTTTTTTACAAATAACCCAAGGCAGTGAAGGTATCAAAAATATCTTCCTATTTTCTCTGTGGAATGAGTTGGGCTGACAAAGTAACTGGCCCAAGGTGCCACAGCTGGCTTTCATGGCCAAGGCAGAACGTGAATTCTTCTGCTTTCTAGCCTACTTCCTTAACCACTAGATCAAAATGACTATCGCATTAAATATTCTCAAAAACACTAATATGCAAATTTTACTATTTGCTGAACTTCTGATATCATCTCTTTAATACAAAAACAGGAACACTATTTTCCCCAGTTCACTTAAAAGATACATTTAGATGAATAATAATTTATTAAATTTTCATGCCAACCAACTCTCAACCACTCTGGGCAGAGGAGAACCCTATCTATCAATGCTACTCTTAGTAACTCCAGCAACCTAATCCTCTTACATGTTTACCCTCAAATCTATACCCATGTGGTGGGCAGAACCCACTTGTGGGCACAGTGACCAAGTCAATGGAAGGGCAAACTGCATTTCACCCAAAAAGTGAAAGTGATCTTCAGAGAAATTAATCCATCCCCCCCCCTTGACGTCATCAAACCTAACCCTTCCTCCTCGAGGAAGAAAACTGATCTGAATGCCTGAAACGAGGCGCAGAGAGCAATTTTCTCCCCAGTTCCCGAGCAACTGAATCCCTTGCACGGGGGAGGGCGAGAAAAAAAAAGAAGAAGAACTTGAAGCGGCCATGCCTTCCTTCTCTCAGAATGGTTCGCCCCACACGAGTCATCCCCCCCCACCCCCCCACATTGGTTCCCCCCCGCCCCCTCGGGCCCCCCCCCCCCCCCCCCCCCCCCCCCCACAACACTCCCAGAATGGTTCCTTCCGCACCAGGCCCAGCCACTCTTTCTCCAGCCTCCTCCGCCGCCAGCGGCCCCCCGGCGCGCCCTTTCCTTCCTTCGCCCGCTTTCCCCACCCCTGCCGGGACAATACTCGGGCCGCAAACATGGCGCCCGCCCAACGCCGTCCTGCCTCCGCAACTCTCTCGGCCCAGCGGAGCCGACTCGAGAGGCCGTGCCAGAAGCCGGCCAGTTTCTTTTCCCCAACCTCCCCTCACCCCGCCCCGAGGTCTCCAGCGCTCACCTGAGGGAGCCGCAAGGACGCGGCTGACAGGCCCTCCTCCTTTTTTACTCGAGACACCGAGCTGGGTTTGAACGAACGGCGGCGGAGGCGCTCCTCCGGCTGTTAGCGCCCGGCTGAAGGGAGACCGAGGCGGCAGCGGATAACCCGCGCCGTCGCGGCCGCCCGCGGGTTCCCGGTTGCGGCGGCGGCGGCGGAGGAGGGGGTGGTGGTTGCTGGATCCGGCTGCAGCGACGCATTCGGGGCGGGAGGCGGAGCGCGTCGCCAAGGGCCGCAGTCCGGCTGCGGGTTGGGTGCGGAGGCGCCCGTGGCCGAGAATCTTCCCCTCCTCCTCCTCCTCCTCCCCCCCTCGGCACAAACAATGCGGCGGCTTCACCACAGCGCTCGCGCCGGCGGGGGAGGGGAGGGAGGGAGGGAGCGCGCTGGGGGGGCCAGGAGGAGGAGGAGGAGGAGCAGGACGTGAGGGCGCCAGGCACCTCCCAGCCCCGCGGACGACGCCGACGCAAACGGCAAAAGACGAGACGCCGCGCGTTTTGTGGGCGGAGCCAACGGGTCGCTTTCCTCTTCCCTTCTCTCTCTTCCCCCCCCCCACACGAAGTTCGTCACCCTTCCATCAGCCAATCATCGTGGGGAAAAGGTTTAAGGTTTCTCCCCCCCCCCTCCAAGCCTCTCTCTCGGCGGACATAAACTGCTTGAGGGAGCGGGAGTTCGCGCGGGGTGGGTTGTGTTGTGTGTCTGTGTTTTGTTTTGCCGGTTGGCTATTAAAACTTGCCGGGTTGAAAAGCCAAACGGCAGTTAAAGAAAGCTAAGCCTTGTTGAAATGTGGTGGTGTTGAAATGGAGCCATTTTGGTTCACTCCAATTTAAAGGATGATGGTTTGGGATTAACTCTGGTTGACTAGCCGAGACGGGACTTGCTGAGGAATTCGTGAGCAGGGAACTCCTGCGTTTCTCTTGCCAGAAGCCATTTCCCCTTGCTTTTCCATAGGGTAAATTGGCCTCTGCAGGAATCCCAGATCTTATCTGTAATAAAATTCATGTGCTCCTCCTATTGCAGGTAGTCCTCGATTTAGGACCGTAATTTATGTCGCGTGTGAAGGGAGTTTTGCCCCATTGTACAACTTTTCTTGCCACGGTCGTTAAGTGAATCACTGCAGTTGGTAAGTTGGTAACAAAAGTTGTTAAAAGTCAATCTGGCTTCCCCATTGATTTTGCTGGTCAGAAAGTTGCAAAAGGGGATCACATGACCTGGGGACACAGCAAAGGTCATTTAGTATGAACCAGTTTCCAAGCATCTTCATCTTGATCACATGATCGTGGGGCTGCTACCAAGGTGGTGTGAAAAAAAGAGCGGTCACTAAATGAACTGCTGTAAGTCAAGGACTATCTGTATTGGGTGGCTGCTAGTCACTGTCTTCAATTAATCTACCATATAAGGTTGAGGGGTTATAGAGAGTAAAGGAAATGATCTTGACAGAAACATGCAAGAACATTTACAAATATAGGTAACTTTTACCTAAGGAAAGGGATAAAACATTGTTTTAATTCTGGGAAGAATGGTGCTGCTCAGGCAAACACTACTTCCGTGTCTAACTTTAAACTGGCAGAATGAAGCCACCTTTTTGGCTTTGTTGTTGGGCAAAAATAAGTCATGATCGGTACATGTTTCTGAAGCAGAGATAGCAGATGGGCTGGGCTCTTTGGTTCTCCATAGTCGCACGTTATCTGCTAAGAGGCTCCACGTGTGCATATTGGTTTTACACTTAGGCATTTCAACTGTCACCTTATTCAAGGTCCTCTAAGTGATATTAGAATATTATAATATATAGTATAATATATAATATTATAAGTAAGTGATATTAGTGCTCTTTAGAAGGCCAGATCCTGAAGATGAAACTCAAATACTTTGGCCACCTAATGAGAAGGAAGGACTCACTGGAGAAGAGCCTAATGCTGGGAAAGATTGAGGGCAAAAGAAGAAGGGGACGACAGAGAATGAGGTGGCTGGATGGAGTCACTGGAGCAGTCAGCATGAGCTTAAATGGATTCCAGAGGATGGTAGAGGACAGGAAGGCCTGGAGGAATGTCCATGGGGTTGTGATGGGTCGGACACAACTTCGCAACTAACAACAAAAAAAGTGATATTTGGGAGGTTGGATCCTTCAGCTTTATCCTTCTTTAATGTTACTCCTTGTTTGACAGTCATCATCCATCTTTTAATTTGATTTTGTTCTTATGTATCCTCAATGATTTTTCTTGCCATAAAGCTGTTCCTAAATCTGAGTTTAGGGCATGTCCGTTCAGAGGATGTCGAGGGTTATTCTCTTGCTTAGTTCATTTGGCATCTGCTACCACCTCTTTCCTGATCTTAGGTGGGACAATGCCAGCAAAAGGATATATTTCTCAATTGGTATATATTTGAGACATCCTGTCACTAACCATAATGCTTCTTTGATGGTACTATCAGCTTGTTTCACTTGGGCAGATCTGGCCAAAGCTGATGTGTGTAGTGTAGATGGTTGAGTTCTCCATGTGTAATTTATCAATTTCCTGATGACATTGTTCCTTAGTGTTCAGGCAATGCTGTTTAAAGGAGAGTGTCCTGACAAGTTTCACGCTGAAATATTTAGGTATTGGGATAGTGCTGTAGTCTGTTCCCTTGCCATATAACATCCAATTCTTCCCTTGCATCTAAATTTCGGAGGTGGAAAGCACATACTTGGATCTTGCTTGGGTTGGGCTTTAAATGGTTGATGGTGTAATATTGTCCTAATTCTTCAACAAAGATTAGGATAATTAGGATAAGAAGCCTATCATACGTTTTCCCCGTCATCAAAAGTTGATCTTCATGCAGCCACTGCTGTATCATCCACACAGATGATTAGACGTGTGTTGTCAGAGACTGGATGATTGTTTGTATGTATGTTATACAATCTTTTAATAATTTCCTGTGACATAATTACATTATTTAAATGAAATGGCAATTAAATGAATTAGTTTTTTAAAGCCAATTCTTTCCATGACATAATTAATTTGCTTTGAGATTATTGAAGAAAGTGCCTATAGCAGGTAGGCAGGCTTAGAAGAACTGCTATATTTGATTAGTGGTTCCTTATTTTGAATCAATAAACGACATATAAATAGTACGTATTCTGACCTTCAGAAAAATGTTTTATTTAACTTTGTATCATGCAAATGCTCTCAGGTTCTGCTTTGGGGTAAAATGAAACATACCATATGACCAAGAGTTAAACTTTTCCATGCAACTCTATGCACATACTATGAAGAGATGTTATAAAGATAAGTCAGTGTGAAATTAAAGCATACAAATATTTTTGACTATCCTCATTTTCATTTTTTTACAAAATCACACTAATCAAAATAAGGCAGTGGTTTTAGTTGTGTAATCAGATATTCTTTTCAGCTAATCAAAAGGGAAGTTTGCATTGAATAAATGATTCAAATCTATTTCAACTTTTGGCAGAATTGATCAAAAGTTCACTATCAATCAAGTTTCATTTCAAAAACCTTTTCTAAAAATCACAAGCAAAACTCTGAACTGGAAAACATACTTGAATAATCTATCTACATACTATTAAAACTTTCAACCTGACCTTTAACTGGAGAAAGTAGTTCAAGAAGCCAATAATTTTTGAACCCAGGTACCTAAAGTGGGCTTACAGAACGTGTCCAAAATCCATGACCCAATGGGGCATGTGTTGTCTAGTGTTAGTGAATACTATCTTCATGTTACAATATAGGTTTTTTTGTTTGGGGTCTTAAATTAAGACAAATGTTAAATGCTAAACTGAACTTCCCATTTTTTTCCTCCACTCTTTATTATTATGTCTTCAATCCAGTAGTGAAATCCAAATTTTTTTACTACCGGTTCTGTGGGTGTGGCTTGGCGGGCGTGGTTTGGCTTGGTGGGCGTGGCAGGGGAAGGATACAGCAAAATCTCCATTCCCACCCCACTCCACGGGAAGGATACTGCAAAATCCCCATTCCCTCCCCACTCCTGGGGGAAGGATACTGCAAAATCTCCATTCCCACCCCATTCTGGGGCCAACCAGAGGTGCTATTTGCCGGTTCTCCGAACTACTCAAAGTTTCTGCCACCAGTTCTCCAGAACCTGTCAGAACCTGCTGGATTTCACCCCTGCTTCAATCTCTACGTACCCAACTCAGATGTTCAAGTCTCATAGATGTCATTCTGTCAGCAAAAACAAATCACTGGATACAGCCGAGAACTGCACAAGAAATGCAAAATTTATCAGGACCAATTAAAGTGTTGTTATTTGCAAAATCATGTCCGACCCATTGCGACCCCATGGACAACGTTCCTCCAGGCCTTCCTGTCTTCTACCATCCCCTGGAGTCTATTTAAGCTCACGCCTATTGCTTCAGTGACTCCATCCAGCCACCTCATTCTCTGCTGTCCCGTTCTTCTTTTGCTCTCAATCTTTCCCAGCATTAGGCTCTTCTCCAGCGAGTCCTTCCTTCTCTAAAGTGGCCAAAGTATTTTAAGTTTCATCTTCAGGATCTGGCCTTCTGAAGAGCAGTCAGGGTTGATCTCCTCTAGGACTGACTGGTTTGATAGCCTTGCAGTCCAAGGGACTCGCAGGAGTCTTCCCCAGCACCATAGTTCAAAGGCCTCAATTCTTTGGCGCTCAGCCTTCCTTGTGGTCCAACTTTCACAACCATACATTGCACAACCATACAATTAAAGTGTAGCAACATAATAAAACAAATTTTAGCAAGAACAATTTAAGCTGGATTGTGATCACAATACACATTTACAGCTATTCTGAAGTTTTTGCAAAATTTTCCTACTGATCAATTGTTGAAATAATAGATCAGCATATCTGTAGGTCTTTTTAAAACATGCAAATTTATTATTTGCAAATAAAAAAATAGAATATCACCTCTATAAACTGACATTCTTGAAAAACTGAATATTTATTAGAGAAAATATATTAAGAAAATATTATGACCTTTTACTGAAAGTGAAAATGCCTAATTAGAGCTGTATAGAAACTGTAGTAAGTAAAATAAGCCTTTTAATGCTAAAATTTACATTTTAATAACTACAGTAATCAGGTTTCCATGTATTAGGAATGTATATTAAATACAAATCCATGTTGTTTTGAAGATTTAATATCTATTAATTGAAATGTATTTATAAATGTTATTTGAAAAATGCTTAAAGCTTCTGCAATATCCTAAAAGGTAATAGCACACAATGAAATACATTTCACCAAAGAAAATCTAATATAATAGATTTTCCAAATATCAAAATTCTTTCACCACTTTGTAGATTCTGTAGTTGCTTCCAGACTTCCTATCTCTATCTCTCTCTCTCTTTGTAAACTTGGGGCATTTCAGAATTAACTGTTAATTTTCAATTCTCACTACTTTATCTTTCGGGTTTAAAGTGTTTGTGGATTCAGTGCATCTTTACAAAGCAAAGATCACTAAAGATGAAAAGAAAACCATACTTTCTAAGTGATAGGATTACATTTACATTTTAACTGTATCTTTCCCACTACCAACTGAAAGGCTTACCAGAAAAAGAAACACCACTATATGACAAAATAGGTTGCAGCTTAACTATAAAGCAGAGGTCTTAATACAATTAAATGTATGCATTTATTTTTAAATGACAGGCTTTAAGCATGCAGACCAAATGGCCATAAAAGGGTTAAAATATATAAATCTGTGAGTCATCCAGTTTTGTCTGGTGATTTCTACAAAACTATTTAAGTATACTTTCAACAATTACACCTGATTTTCAAAGACTAATTAAACCTGATTTTCAAAGACTAATTAAACAATATCTACATACATGTTCCTGGTATTTTGAAATGTATGAAAGGCAAAATTATATTAAACAATTCTGTAGATATTTCTCACAAAAATAAAAAATATTGTTTTATCTTGGTATAAGCCCAAAGCACATTGTAAGCCGCCCTGAGTCTCCGGAGAAGGGCGGCATATAAATCAAATTTAAATAAATAAATAAATAAATAAATAAATAAATAAATAAATAAATAAATAAATAAATGGAATACAACTGGTCAAACAAGTAAATGAACAAAAGCTTTTGCATATTCTTTTTAATGGATTATAATGGTTATATTAGGCATACTCTTAATACAGAATCCTTCAAATGCTGAAGAGACAAATGTCTGGGAGCGAATGAAGCAGTAATCTGATAATTACATAGTTCAATCCAGTGTGATGGAATTCTGTATATTTAGTCAACATACATGTCTCTTCATGAAAAATACATAGCTGTGGAATAAAAAAAATACCTACAGATAAAATATATGTTTTACATCTCTACACCCAAAGTAGTGGTCATATGGTAAAACACTAAACATATTCAAACTAACAAGCAACAATAGGACTGCTGGTTTAAACACATGTATTTTATAAAGCTGAATGAATTATTTGTATTAATACTGCAACTGTAAGCATTTAATAGTTTTTAATAGTAGAGTTAGGATGAAGTTTGTGTTTGTATTTTCAGTTTTCCACACCTATTGCCCTCTATCCATTCTCTTCCATATCCAGTTTACATTATTAATGTTAGGGCAGTACCCTTTCATAGTTTATGAATTTGATTTATATACAAATAAAATAACTGGAAAGGAAATTAAGGTTTTTTGCTCACAGAACTGACACTTGTATGAATAAGCAGCCTTTGAATTTTGTGCATGAGATTGGGCTTGAAATATATATATCAAATTAGCTTTTTTTTTATAAAAATAAAGCTAGTAACAATTGTAAAACACAGGTTTTTTGCGTTTTCTCTCAGCCATTTAGAGAACATTTTATAAGTGTTTACAAGTACATTGGTCATGTAGAAACTCCCAATTTTTCTACTACAATTAAAACGTAAACCTGGATAGTTTGGAAGCAAGTTCCGAAATACCAGTTATTTACTAACCCTACTAAATACTTAGGTCTTTTAAATGCTCTTGTATATTAAAGAGCAGCTTAATGTCCAGCACTAGGAGGAATTTTATCAATTACTAAGGAAGTACAAAACGCGAGGCAATACTTGCATTAATTCCAGTTAGGTATTTTTTTTGTTTTTGGTTTTTTTGCATCGAGAGCCTGGTGATACTAAGGGGCAAAATATGTGTTTTAAGGGAGGGGTCTCCAACCTTGGCAACTTTAAGCCTGGAGGACTTCAACTCCCAGAATTCCCCAGCCAGCAAAACTGCCTAGGGAATTCTGGGAGTTGAAGTCCTCCAGGCTTAAAGTTGCCAAGGTTGGAGACCCCCGTTTTAAGTGAATACAGCCTCTCATCCCTGAACCCTTCCCCCCCCCCCCCAAAAAAAAAACAGAGTATGGCATCCGGCCCATGAAAACAATATACCTAGGCGCCGAAATCTAGGTAGTAACCTATTCTCCAGAGAGAGCAATTGAGACGCGCGCAAAGAGTAAGATTTTCCACCAGTTCTGGAAACAAGTGTCCGTTCCCTATCGGAGATGATTTTGTGCATCCTTTTCTTTCCGAAGAGGAAACGGCGGCGGTTCACTCAGCATCCGTTTCTGAATCCGTCGCTCGCAACTTCGGTTGACACACCCTCAGTCTTCCAAAGCACAAACTCTTCTCCTCCCCATTCGCTCTCGCTTCCTCAACGGCGACCATTTTGTCAGCCCGCTCTTCGCTTTTTGCCTGGTCCCCCCCCCTTCCTCCCTCCCTCCACCCCATGACGACAGCACGCGACGTTCCCCCGTGACGCGCACGGCTGCGCCGATGGAAGATCGCGTGCGCGTGACGCCTTTCACCCGGCCAACGGAGGTCGCGACGCCTCCCTCCCTCCCTCTCTCTCTCTCTCGCCGCCTGGGCTTGCCGCTCGGATTTGCGTGCCATGCCTTTGGCTCCGCCTTCCCTTGCTGCCGCTATTGCTGCTGCTGCTGCTGTTGCTGCTGCTCCGAGCGTTGCACATGCGTAGTACGAGCCGGGGCGTCCGAGCCGGGGGAGTCGGAGTTCAGTGTCGCGGTAGCGGGAGACAAAGCGAGTGAGAAAAATGAATGGGACGGGGATACTCGAACCTTCCTGTTAACCTCTTCTGCGCCGGCAGGTAGAGCGGGAGGCGCTGCAAAGAGAGGTGAGGAGAGCAAAGACCCGCCCGTGAGGGGAAGACGGTGTACGCGCGGTGCCTGTCTCCTGCTCCTCCTCTCCCCCCCCCCAACAGCCGAAACTCCCTTTCCGCCACCGCCGTGGCAGGGACGCTGGAATCCTTCCGCTGAGGGACGGAGCTCTTTCGTCATCCCAGCCCGGGAGTCGGGAAGGGTCGCCGTGGAACTGGGAGTCGGCCGGGCGCAGGAAACCAACGCCGTCCCCGGCCCGGGTGCGCTGCTCCCTCGCGTGTGGTGCGTGCGTGCGCCGGCCTTTATTGTTTGAGGGCAGGGAGGAAGCCTCAGTGGGGGGGGGGGGTTCCCGTGGGGTCCCTTCGAAGAACGGCCACCGATGGGTCTCCCTTGCCATCTCCTGCCTACCCGCCCACCCCCTTCTTTCCCCCTTTTGGGGAAAGGCCGCACTTTTCTTTTCAGGGTGCGCAGAACTAGCGCCCCGGCTTTGTCTGGGCTTCATTTTGTCTCCCCGCAGAAATCCACGCAGGCCCCGCACTTCACAAACCGTCCGTTTGTAAAGCAGGGCCGCCCCCCCCTCCCCCTTCTTCCTTCGCCTTGCCTCCTCCTTTCCTTCAAGCGAGGAGGCTTCATCCCTTTTTTATTATTATTATTATTATTATTTTATGTCGTCGTCCTTTGGTCCCTCGCTCTCTCTTTTTTTTTTTTTGACAGACTTCGTGGCCATATGGCTGCTGGTGGGGTGTGGGGGGGGGAAACGAGGGTGTTGTTGAGCCATGCTGGGTGGAGCGACACCTTTCCTTTCCTTCTCCCCCCCCCCCTTTTCGATCACCCTTCGTCCTTTGTCAACAACTCAGGTGGTGGGGGGGGGGGGGACCCTTGGCGTGGCAAGGTGGAGAGGCGAGTAGTTGTCTGCCTTTTAAAAGCAGCCCAGATCTTCTTTTCCTGGACCGAAGTTGAATGAGGACTTCCGTTGGCCCTGACTGAAAAAATCCTCTTTTGAAGAGTGCAGATGAGACAGGAAGGACTTTCCGTCCTTATTTCTGTTGATTAGAACCAGGGGTCTCCAACCTTGGCAACTTTAAGCCTGGAGGACTTCAACTCCCAGAATTCCCCAGCCAGCAAAGCTGGCAGCGGAATTCTGGGAGTTGTAGCCCACCAGGCTTTAAAGTTGCCAAGGTTGGAGACCCCTGGATTAGATGACCAATAATAATGGTCAATCTTTGCTGGCTGGGGAATTCTGGGAGTTAAAGTCCCACCAGGTTTAAAATTGCCAAGGTTGGAGACCCCTGGATTAGATGACTAATAATAACAATAACTTTACCTTTTTCCAGTCAGCATTTACATAGCAGTATTTGTGTTTCTACAGTCCTAAAAGTGGTCTTTTTTCAGATGTGGAAGAAAGTGCTCTTGTAGGAAACTGAAGTCACTCTGGAGCCCAGAGAGATTGGAGTATTTAGTTAGTATTTAGTTAGTAACCAGTCTGATTTTATAAATAAAAAGTAAATTATCTCAAATTCGATCCAGGGCATTTTCAATTGGAATGCTTCCCATATAAAGTTTGTGGAAAAAAATCTTTGATGATTGAGAATTTTGAGTAGATTGTTAGATAAAATCATCAAGAGGATTATTGATGTAACTGAGCAAATAGAGATATATCATTGAAAGATATAAGATCCAATGCAGCCCCCCAAATACCCCAGAAGATGCCATGCTTACAAAACCATTTTTTCTTCAAAAAATCCATAAGCAGTTTCTAGTCATTGGTGAATATCAATAATGACATTTCTTTAATCAAGTCAGTTTGGCCATTTAGCAACTTCTGTCAATAACTAACCCTATTCCTCCATGGTGGGTAATACCTAATCTTTCCATCTATGTGCATATAAAAATCTCACCACAGTAATCATATATTGAAATAATCTTCCATGACTTTTTTCTATGTCTTTTGAATCATTGTAATAGCATAAATGTGAATAGATTTATAAGAATTTAAAAACATGTTTGAGATTTACTGGCAGGAAAAATAGTTTATTTGTGCAGCATATTTTTTTTCCTAGGATTCCAATATAAATATCTTACATAGCTGTTTAAACAGACATTTTTTTAGTTTTTCAAGGTTTAAAATTTAGGATGAATGAAATGTGAATTTTTTTGTGTTAAAATCTAAAGACTGCTACTTCAGAGGGATGGGTAAACATCTAGAAAAGGGAAGATAGCGGGAGAGAAAAGTTACTAAACTTGCACAAACAAAGAGATCATGGAGTATGTAACAAAATTACATACTCCATGATCTCAGTCTTGAAAAAAGTAGGTAACTGCTACTAATATACATCCTAGCCACATCTTCCTGGACATAGGCACTCTAATCAATAAAACCTCCACATACCCACACTTGACTACAACCTGAATTGTAGTAACTAAGATTTGTCACAAATACATCAAATCTTTTGTCACGTTTGCTCAGAAAAATATATTGCCTTGCTCAATAGAGCTTTTTCATAGACAATCTAACCTAGGATTGTAGCCAGCTGTCTATAATTTTAATTGAATTAAAATTTATTTTAGAAATCAACAAAAATAACAAAGAGTTAAAATTCAATATTTTCTTCATATGGTTTTTTTTTTTAATTACTGGCATAAATTAGAATCCTTTCCAGAAAGAAGACAAGCTTTAAAAAATGTTGAAAATATCAGACCTTTCACCATCCTGACTAAATGACAAAATTCATTCAAGAGCATTAAGACATAGCTATTCTTGTTAGGGACTCTTTACACAAGGAACTAGTAAAATGCAATTGCAATCTCAAGGTGATTGTGTCTATATTGTAGAATGTGAACTACTTCAGTCCAGTAAAAGTTATATGTATGTTTAGCAAAGACTATACTCTTTAGCTATTCAATTTATAGAAAGTATTCATTTTTGCACTTCATTGTTATACTATATTCCATTTTTGTCATTCTATTCTTTTTCTTGTTTCACCATTCACACCTTCCATTTGTTTCTAGATCTTCAGTTAGAAGTATCCTTGCGTTCTCTAGACAAGTTTTAGGTGGTAGCTCTGCAATAAATACAGGTAGTCTTCAACTTACAATAGTTCATTTAGTGACCTTCAAAGTTACAGTGACACTGAAAAAAGTTACTTATGACCATTTTTTACACATACGACCATTGCAGCATCCCCATGGTCATGTGATCAGAATTCAGATGCTTGGCAACTGATTCATATTTATGATAGTTGCAGTATCCCAGGATCATGTACTTTTGCAAACTTCTGACAAGCAAAGTCAATGGGGAAGCCAGATTCACTTAACAACCATGGTACTAACATAACAACTTCAGTGATTCACTTAAATATGGCAAGAAAGGTTGTAAAATGGGGCAAAACACACTTAACAAATATCTCACTTAGCAATTTAAGTGTTGGGCTCAATTGTGGTTGTAAGTCAAGGACTACCTATATAGAGAAACCTTGCCTAAATTGTCCTATTTAAAAAAAGGTGGCGGGGTTGTTGAAAAGGTAAATATTAATTCAGAAAATAAATCTCTAACTTTGTTTTCATACATACAGTATTTTTTAAACCAACTTATACAACTGTTCTAAGAGAATAATTTCCCAGTTACATATCTATTTTGCATCTATGTTCAATACAACTACCATAATGGATTTAATTTGTAGATGAACTTTTATCCTTTGTATATTTTTACAAAAGTGGATAATAACTTGTATACTCTAAAATATTTGGTATATTGAAATTTATATTAAGCTAATGCATGCATTTACTTCTTAATTATCTTAAATTACTATAAGGTGGTGGTAAAAGCCATAATATTAACTCTAAGTCATAACTTACAGTGATTCTGATAAAAATAAGTTGTAACTCAGCTCTAAGACCCAAACCTTTTATTTAAATATAGGTCAACCTATCAAAACTCAAAACCTTTACTTTACTTTACTTTACTTTACTTTACTTTACTTTACTTTACTTTTATTTGATTTATATACCGCCCTACTCCCGAAGGACTCAGGGCGGTGAACAGCCAACAATAAAATACATACATACAAAATTTAAAAAGCAGAAATAAAATTGAATTAAATAGTTTGGCCCAGACAGATTAAAAAACCCCAATCAATTTAAAACAAATTAAACTTTGAATATTAAAAATATTAAAAAATGTTAAAAAATATTTAAAAAGAGGGAGAAAGTTAGGCCAGGCCCGCCTGGTGGAATAAAAAGGTCTTAGGGTGGCGGAAGGTGTGCAGATCCGGGATCCTCCGTATCGCCGGGGGGAGCTTGTTCCAGATAGTAGGTGCCCCCAAAGAGAAGGCTCTCCCCCTGGGGGCCGCCAGTCGACATTGTTTGGCCGATGGCACCCGGAGAGCCCCTCTCTATGAGAGCATACCGGCCGGTGGGAGGCTATTGGTGGTAGTAGGCGGTTCCGCAACTTTACCATTTTTAAACATTTATATCACCTTAAGCTCTTGCCATAGGATATAAATCTAGCAAGTTATATACATAGATCATGAGTGTTAAACTCGATCGCATATTGCAACGTATCACGACTTTTTAGCCTTTGCGGAGC